CGGCACGGCAGAGGTGTGACTTCCCAATCAGTTGATCCTGATTTTGATGGGCAGTGATACATGTCTCAATTCGAAATGGTGGACCAAACATGACCAAACTCCCAGTTTTTCAGACCCGAAATCCTCCGAAATCCCCCGAAGCAACTCATGTGACTTGGCGCGTCCCGTCGCCATCTCCAGCGGCACCCCCTGGACCGAGGCCACGGGCCTCTGGCGATTGCGGCTATACACGGCCAACTGGAGGTGGTCGAGGCGCTGCTGGCCGCGGGCGCCTCCGTCGAGGCGAAGGATTACAACGGTCCCGGCCCTCAGAGACGGGACCGATGTGACAGGACGGACGTTGTGGGAAGGCGGTGCCACGGATTTCAGGATGAAATTCGATGGTGTTCGCCACCTTAGCTGGAGATGAACCTCCAGCAGGTGAGAGCCACAGGGTGGACAATTTGAAGGAAATCAGGCACACGAAGTCATGAAGTTGTCCCTGCTGGGATGCACAGCTTCGGAGAGGTGATCTTGCACATGGGCGCTCACATGTACAACCTTAATCAACCTCTATTGGTGTAAAAGAGCCTGATGCAAGGTTTCATCAGACATACAGTCCTGTTCGGGTTCTTTCTTTTTGGAGGTCTGATCATGTCTGATCAGTTCGTAGTCTTGGTGATCTTCACAAACACCAGCAATGATAGTGGCTGCCATTGAGCCAGCTCGCTATACAATTTTGAAAAAGATGAAACTCACGGACTTCACTCCACAGATTGCAGTTTCTCCCACTGCAGTGGGGTCACTCGGTGACAAGTTGTTTGATGACTTTTAATGCGCCATGTGCACAGAGCTGTGGCAGGATAGGTGGCATTTGGGTGGGATTGGGATTTTGTGAATCTTCTCAAACGCCATGGAGAGATATTTGGCAAGTGACAGTACATGAGGTGACAAAGCAACAGAACACAGTGGCATCCACTGGCATCTTTGGGGTACCCCATCACTGCAGGAATATAACATGATATAACACGAATTGCCCACACGCAATGTCGACCTTTGACAACACATTCTCTGCATGACGATGGTAAGACATCGATGTGAAACACCACAAGACATCATAAGACATCTTGAGAGAGAAGAACTCTTGCACATTTGCTACCTGTACTGTATGGGCCTACTGTGTGGGTGTGAAAGAGCGCTTGAGAATGCTCGAGATACGTTGAGATATGTTTGATTTGTTCGGCTGTTAGGCGTAAAAGGGTTTTCCCCTTTTCGGATATTCTTTTTTGGAAGGTGCCATCAGTTCGTAGTCTTGGTGATCTTCACAGATAGTGGCTGCCATTGAGACAGCTCGCTATACAACTTTGAAAAAGATGAAACTCACGGACTTCACTCCACAGATTCGAGCCTCTTCCACTCAAGTGTGGGGGTGGGCGGTGGAGAGCCACGGGTTGGAGCCCTCCAGCCGTTGACGTCTCCGAGCCCTTCGGCGCCTGAGGTCGGACATCGCTGCACCACGCGGCTGGCGACGGCTTCACCGCCGTGGTGGAGCGGCTCCTCGCCGCGGGCGCCGCCGTGGATGCTGTGAGCAGATTTGGCCAGGGGCCCCGGAAACGGCCGGTGGGGACGACAGGGGGTGGAGTGGAGGGATGATCTGATGCAGAGTGAGTGAAAGAACAAACTCGCTCGGTGACAAGTTGTTTGATGACTTTCAATGCGCCATGGGCACAGAGCTGTGGCAGGACAAAACTAATAGGTGGTATTTGCTGTAGGTGGGATTGGGATTTTGTGAATTTTCTCAAATGCCATAGTGAGATATTTGGCAAGTGACAATACACGAGGTGACAAAGCGACACAACACAGTCATGAACGTATTCTGAGTTTGTTTCAGGCTGTGGGGATTTTTTTTTTTTTGGCGCTGTCATGGTCCTGGTGGGATGTTTGGCAAGTGTCAACATGGGGTGAAAATCGACACAATCAGCAGAGCACAGTGGCATCCACTGGCACAGCGATACCAAAACCACGGTAAGGACTTATTAAGACTGATATGATATTGGAAACAGGGTTAGGATACCAACCATAAGGTTAGAAGACATCAATGTAAAGCACACGCAAAACAACTTGAAAAGCAATGACACTAAATGATACTATCTGGATTTGGTGGGTTCCAAACTCAGCCCCACATCCGTCTACATCGGGCCGTTGCACTTCCAGCTGCGTATCGCAAGGCAAGACACCGTACGACCACGCCAAGCAAAGCGACCACCGGCAGGTGATGGGTGTGCTGGACCCGGTCCCTTGGCACTGGGATGAGCATCTCTTGGTGCACCAAAGCTTCGGCACACGTAGGCTATAGGAACTCACCAAGAAATAACAGTTGTTCTTATTGGGTCGTTGCAATCTTGATGTTGTGAAGGTGTCATGCGTTCGAATTGACTCCGATGCGTTGCCTTTCTTTGGGTGAGGTATTTGTGGCCCTTCTCAGTGGCCGGAGCTGCAGATGTGCCTCGGCTGGTCGGAAAGCAGCGGAAGCCTTGCGAAACACAAACAACTTTGATGCAGATACTACAGCAATTGTAAAAAAAATGCAATGATGCATGATGTGAGATGATACCAGTAGATTTGATTCAAGTGACTCTACACTTCGTATACTTGACATGAATTGCGAAGAGATGGGTTTGTCTTGAGCTGGCGAGAAAAACTGTGATCCGCAGCCATGTGGTAGAATTTCGTCCCAAACCTATCGCAGTATAAGATAAAGATCATGTAGCCATGCTGTCTACAACTTGGTTTTGGAAACCTCTACCAGTGGAAAACACCGAGGCAACTCTGCGCATGAAACTGTACAAGACTTGAAGGAGGAAGCAGAGCGGCTTGGCATCCTTACAGTGTAAGCTTCTTTGGGCCAGTTTTGGTCTGCCCAGGTTTTCCTTGTTGACAGCCTTCCTGTAGTCAACACGTGTGAAAGCTTGTGAAATGCGTGGAAAGATCTGGGTTCCTTGTAGACGATGTGTTTCTTTTCCTACTTTCCTTCCGTAAGAGCCTTGCCATTGCATTTTTTTTAAAACTATGAAGTAGAAACAGAAATATGGTGGGTTCTGAGCGAAGTGATTGATCGATTTCATTACTCCGATTTCAACGACAGGGCCAATCACAGCAACCTCTTTTGTGCACTGTGCTTGCTGCTTGAAGACTTCCTTCATTAATGTTGCCTGAGAATTCTCCAACTAATTCTGGCAAGAAATGTGAAGAAAGACATCGCGGCAACACCATGCAAGAATAGTTCTGCGACCATGAGTTGTAGCATGGATGTTCAAAATGGATGCAACCAACACTTGTTGGCCCTGGCAAAGAGAGGCAGAGCATCCCCCAGCCACTCATGTAAGACGCTTTTTGTTTCAATCGTTTCATTAACTGCCCTGTTAGATGGATTCGCTACCCTGCTACATATTCCTGATGACATCTTATAAATTTTCCAATATAAAATATTCCTTTGCACCTAGCGATGCTTTCAACAGAAGCCGTGCTGCAGGTGCCACATCTGTTGATTGCGGATCCGAGGCGCAAGTTGGGAACGACCATCGAGCATCTCATTGGCCCCGACATGCAGCCGCTGCTGCTTGGCACAGTTGATGCGGTATGGACGCTGCTGCTGGGTATTCTCCAACTGATTTAGAGCTCATGAGTTGGTTCACTGCTAGAACTCATTATTTCTTGGGGTTCCCTTTAGTGTTGCAGAATGCAGCCTGGAAAAAGGGCATGGTACATAGACTATCTAGACTTTGGCATTGTGGTGAAACTGTGCCTCGTGGACGTGATTTTATACGACAAAGTCCTCTCTGCATGCTGCAACTGGGATAGGAGTTCCTGCTGGCCCCCTGACACACCAACATCTTGAAGAAGTGTAAGTACTGACCCAATAGCCGACTCAGCCACGAATACAAAGATGATAAACAACATATCGAATTATTAGAAGTCTCTTGAGAATGTAGCCACCTCTATAGCCTTCTGGAGACACCGTAAGTTTTCTCCTTGAACCTCAATCACAAATCGATCAAATTGATTTCTCTTGGAGCGCATGGAGGGAGTGCATCAACTGCATCAGCTTTGATTTGACAAGTCACTGTGGTCTCCCCAAATGGGCCGGAGCTTGGTCCAGGAATGGAGCGATGACTCTGCAAGAAGCCAACATTCTGCCTGGAAATACCCTGACGGCCGTCCTAGTGACTCTGATAGAAAGAGCATTGGACACAAGACTTCCGACAAATCGAAGTACGCATTTATATTATATGTCAATTTTGAAAGCCACACATATTCATACATACTCATTCAATCTCAATCAGCAACACAGAATCTCAGAAAACCATATCATCGCTTTGTTATAGATGTGTCCTGTTTTGCGCGTTTGTATCGTTTATTGGAGCAACATTGGTTTTGATACTGAAGTGTTTGGCAGAAAATTGCATATGTGTGCAGAGACATCCGTTTAGACATGCGGCATCGTGCGGCACCATGTGTAGGAAGTGACTTTTTACGACAGGATTTCTCATGCCAGGCGGCTAGGCAGTCCGTTGATTTCGTTGTCGCCAGGACCCTGTGGTGCTGAAGGACTTTGGCCATGGGATTTCGATGAAGATGGCGCAATCCGTTTTCGATGAGTACGGGCCCAGGATGGAAGTGCTTGCAGACTGGAAGGATCTGAAGGATCCATCCTCCTTGGAGGAAGTGTCTCGTCCGCAAACCAGCCAGCCGATGCTTGGGCGGTGAAGGATAATATGTATTAATACTGAAGGTTTGATATCATTTTGGGTGTCATTGACTTCGAGCCATGATATGCAGTACCAAAATACCAGCTGTTTTGTGGCGGAAAGCATGTACTTTTGTTCACAGGGTCTCTGCGTTGTGGGGGTCTGCCAAGCTGTGACACCTGAATCATAGTATTGATTTTGAATGATTTTGCTACGCCCCATCTATATTTAGTACAGGACAGGAAATACAACGCATTGAATTGCATGACATCCCATTGTACAACGTACATTTATGATCATTTATGTACATTTAATGTACTATAGATACAGTTATCTCATACACATACCCTTCCCAAGACCAAGACAGAAAACATGACCTTCCCGTTCCTGGTTTTCTCGGTATCAGAATGTCGACCAATGACAACTCCGTTGCGGCAGAATTGGACATCGTCGGCATAAATTTGAGATTTCAGCAATTCTTGTGCCAAAATATGCAAATATGAAACTTGGGCAGAAGTTCCCAAAAAAGATTCCTCGTTGATAGGGTGGATACATGCAATATAAATAAATAAATAAACTAAACTTAAATATATTAAATAAACAAATAAATAAATGAATTCAATAAATAAATATATTAATAGATGAATAAATAATAAATTAAATAAATAAATAAATAAATGTATAATATGTGTGTGTATATATACGTAGTTGATGATCCAGATTGGACCCAGAAATTCCTTGCCCCAGCTGTGTATTGAGATACCCGTACTCTCCTGAGTAAGTTTCTGAGGCAAAACACCTTTTGTGTTGAAACATTTTCATGAGATGACTGAAGGGTTCATGTCAGCAGGAGACGTGGATCATACCATGGCTCCATGACTCCGGAATCTGCATTGCAGTTTGTTTGTTGCACAAACACGTTTTACACCCTGTTATCATCAATATGGTCACTATGATTGTGCTTGTAGGCGCGTCGGTTTTGATTTGTAGCTTTTGCAACTTCAGGTGCTCCCTCCCGGACACGTGGCACTGAGCCAACTGGTGCGTCTCAGTCCGGAAGATGTCACGTTTCCAAAGCCAGTGGAGGCAGGGGGGCAAAGGCGTTCAAAGGCTACTGTACCCTATTGATCCATTTCGCCTGTGCCCAAAGAAGTTTCGTACCAGGAAATGGAACCGATGGATGCCATGCGCAGGCAACTGAAGTAATTATGTAGTTGACATTCAATCCGGACAGGGAGCTTAAACGATTCAAAGGGGGCTCCTTTCCTATGGCCTTGGAAAGACTCCCCCAATGCAAACACAGTTCTTCCAGATCCTTGGGAGAAGAGATACAAAAGGCAAAGGAAAAGGAAAGCACCGCTTCTCCGATCTGGTGTCATGCACGCTACAGCCACACGTAAATAGACGTTCAAGATTTTGTTTTGTGAAACACATGCAAGATCCATGAATGCTCCAACCTCAAAATATGGGTCTTGACGCGTAATACCAATACCATGACGATTCGGGTTCTTTGACAACGTAAAACTTTCGAAACCTCCGCCAGGTTGAGATGCCAACATGTGTTGGTGCGGAATCTGTTTGGAGATCATCAGCCACAGGCAGGGTTGCCAGTTGCGGTTCGGGTTGAACTGGGCTACTGATTTCGGTGGTTCCTAAGTGGGGTACCTATTGATTCAGGGGTGGTAGCCCATACTTTTTGACCATGCAAGTAATTAATTATTGTTGAAACTCGTTCCCAGCAGTTGTTTTCAGGTTGGCCTGATCCAAGACTTTGACAGACAAACATGTGAATTGATAAGGAACCTGAACCGTGGTTCGGTTTCCAATTCTTCATGCCGGTTCGGTTTTGCACGGTGTGGTTTTACGCTTGGCCTCACCCGATTGTTGCTTCTCGGTTCGGTTTCCCGGCCGCAGGCTGGGAACGACTACTGGGTGCGAAATTCAGCGATGGCCGAGTGGTTGTTGCGCTGAGCCACTTTTGTGATGTTGTGGCCACGGGGCCATGTGGCCTGAAAGCTGTGGGATTCATCGATCCACGCGGTGCAAACGCGAAAGTCGCATTGCTACACGTGGCGTGCGAGTCATGTCAGAACAGCTTGGAGCAGCTGTGCTCCGATGCTGACATGTTGGGATCCTTCAAGAAATGCGGCCCCAGCGTACCGCTGGGAACTTACCGCCACGACGAAGACCTGGAGCTGCGTCAAGGGCAAGAAGCGATGAACATGAGAGTCAGGTTCCACCGAATGCCGCAGATTTCCCGGAAACTTGTGGCTCACTCTGCAAGCCACTTCAGTGTCGAAATTGAAGGGGATGACCATCAGTTCGAAGAACTTCGGTCAGAGGCAGCCACGAATGCAACAGCTTCAAACCCAACAGCATCGGATCTCCAGTCAGCTCCAGCGACCTCACAGGCGCAGTGGAGTGGGGTTGCGTGGTAAACATCAAACATCGAACCCCGAAAGTCATCTCACTGCCTTTTCCAGGTGCATCCGCAGGTTCATCCACACGTGCTATATATTTGGGTATGTTTGCACATTCACGCGAGAACCCCAACATTTGATGGGTAATTGTTAGCTAAAACATCAGTTTCCCCATGAAACACGGTCATGGTGGACAAAAACATCCTTTTCCAACATGTTCCCCACTCGAAATGGCCATAATTATGGGACAACTCCAAAATTTGACGGTAACACCGAATTTTCACCCTATTGTCTAAGGTTTTCCACGGGTTTCCTAACTTTCCCCATGTTTCCCCGTTCAAAAGTTGCCATTCGCTCCACGGGGCCTGGGCAGGCGATGCCCGCAGCTGCAATGACCTCGGACGTGTCGATGGCGACTCGGCGCCAACGGTGATCCAACGGTGGCTGCAACGTCAAGTGGCGGCCGAAGACTTGGAGATTTTGGGGTTGAAATTGTCGAATTCCTCAAATGGATAATATTTGATAATTTTAATATAATAATCATCAGAATCTATACTAGTTAGATTTGATAAAAGTTAAAATAGCTGATGGGGTGCGAACAATAAGTTAAGAAAAGTGGAAGATTGAAACAGAAGAGCCGAATGGGAATTTACATGAATTTACAGTGGGACCTTGCCTTCTGCCGGGTAAATCAGTTGGTCGGCACTGCGTATTATTGGTTTTATATGGTTTTATGATGTTCTATGCGCATTTTTAATGAGATCCAGAATCGCAACACACACACATTTTCATAGAACAAGAATGCTTGTCCTTCATAAATTTCAGAAATCGGAAACCGACGAGATCCATGATTGGATCCAGCTCCTGTGACAGACCGCTCAGGCACAGGAGCGGCCAGAGAGAGGTCACCTGTTACTGAGCGGCCGCTTCAACAGTGATACGATTCTTGTCGAAGGTTGGGGAAGAAAAAATGTCACTTGAACATAGTTGAATCAGGTTGTTGAAGTTTGATCCTGCATCTGTGAACCGTGTTTAATCTTTTCTTAAGTTTCATTCTGGATGCTCGGCGGACTGTCGGCCACTGAGGGTCATCGACTACATGAAAGCGGTGAAGAGGCGCTTGGAAGAGAGACGAATACCTGTATATATGGTGCAAGCTCAGGTCGGCTAAAGTTTTGCCGAGCTGATGCGGATAGGATTAGGCCGTGCCAAAGGCATGGTGGCCTTCTGCACTTCGGAGTACGGCGCCTATACTGGTGCTGGCTACGAAACCTTCCATGAATTGGAATATGCACACGACAACAATTTGTATATATTCCCCATTAGGCTGTGTGAGCAGTGGCCACCTGCGCCACAAAACAATGAAAGAGGCACTTTTCAAAATCGTCTGGTGTTCAAGAATGGCCTTGTGTTTGTAGATGATCGGCAGATGAACAATGCCGAAGGCGCTGCCGACCAGATTGCGGATTCTGTTACCAGCAGTGGCATCTTTGCCAATTAGGCAAAGTCAAAAAAAATCGATGAATGTGGCGGAAATCAAAGCGTACTGCTGCCGGATTCCACCCTCCGATGGTGCGATCCTTGGTGATTCCGGATTAAATTAGGTCAAGTAACAGGCCGATCATCCTTAACGATCAGAAGAGTTCACCCGAAGTGAGACATTCAAAACATCTATGGGCCTAAAAGTCCCTGCTACTCTCAAGGTAGAGGAACCCGAGTCGCAAAACCTCCGGACGTTTGCTTCAGGCAGTGACAGGCCGTAGGTATTGGTTGCGACATGGACATGGCATGGGAGAAATACAGTAATTTGAAGGTGATTCATGTGCACATTATAGTTACTAAAGGTTCGAATTCCTGTAGTTATCGGCTCAGCTTACACTTTTTTCACCCAGAGTTCTCATTGACCTTCAGGATTGCAGAGACATCACACCATGACTAACCTAGATTTGACCACTGAATCTGTATAGTGAATCTGGTGAATCTGGCAGACCCGGCTTGTTGCTTACGGCGAAAAATGGCTCATGCCGTTCCAGAGCCTGTCCTGGTTTGAAATCAATGGATTGCCAGACCTCCAGAGTTTCAACAGGTGATTCACTTAGAACCAGATGTTGCCCTGAAGTTTTCATCATCATTTTCACAAAAAGTTTCACCATCCTTGCGGAAATTCCCCTAGGGAATTCCACCTTCATGGCAAAGGATGGCCAAGATACCTCGGCAGGGCGTCCCAGATGTGAGACCTCCAACTTCGGAATCTACGCTGTTCTGAGGTTGGAAGCTGATATGGTGAAAACATGTGAAAACAACAAACTTGTTGGGATCAAGTCAGGGATTATTTCACCTGCTTCCTTGTTTCGAGTTAACACTCCATATCGTTGACATCCACGCCAAGAAGCGGCAAATCTATGCAAATTAATGCAATTCTAGGGTGGTAAGTCCGAAACTGTCAGTGAGGGCCAAGGCTGTTGATGTACCTTAGGGATGTCCCAAAAAACAGGGGGGGCATCCCAATCCCCAAACTGTTGCGTTTCCCAACAAAGGCAACGAAATGGTCCATGGTGGATTCTTGTTGGGTCTCCACTTCAGAAGCACCCAACTTCTGAAGTTCCTGTCTAGCGCACCAGGCAGACCATGCTGGCGTCGAAGCAATTTTCCAGCACTTGGATCCCACCGGACTCTCGACTGCAACAGTTTTGGGATCTGCTGCGCGTTTTTGATGCAATCTGCTCCTGGGTTCGTGTCGTTGTGTCGTTGGACTCGGTGGGGAACGGGACTCAGGAAGTGGAACGCTCGGGAAGGAGGAGCTGCTGTCCATCCTCTCTGGCCTTGGCGTTTCTGATCAAGAGCTGCCTGGCTTACCTTGTCATGTCGGCATGTCCGCAGATGATCATAACCCTGTCCCTGGATGCACTTGTATCATTTGAAAAATTCAGCCGTTTTGGGAGTTGATGGAACTATCTCTTTACCATTCATCTCACTAAAATCAGGGATCACTAAACCACCAAGACACAGCTGCACTGTGGTGCTTCATTCGCCAAGGTTAGCCTTGCTTCAATCCACAGATGCTTGGTTTGATACACGCTTCATACAGAAATCCTAGGATATCCAGGAATATAGGACCTAGGACCTAGATTGAGTTTCCACTGAATCAGGTTCAGGTCGTCATTGTTGACTTTCAGGTTCAGCTGTGGGGTGGTTTTCTGTCGCACTCAGACATGACTTGTCCGATGTTTTTGCGGAACACATTGAAAGATGGCAAGGAAGTCTAATTGAAGGTCAGTCGGCTGTGTTCAGGAGATGTTTCAAGACCAGCGAGTTCCCTACTCGCACTTCCTGCGGTGGATTTTCGCACCAGCATCCAACTCTGAGAGTGGTCATCAAGCCGATGTTTCATCGCATCTTGCCAGAATGATTACCGTCCTTCGGCCAGAACTGCCAAGGTTGTCATGATATGGTAAACACATGTAAACATAAAACAGGACAATGGGCTGAACAATTGGCTGTGGTTTCAAGCCACTTAGTTGGCATTTCGATGATCGCTGTGAAGTCCTTGTTCCTTCCCGAGTTTTTCATCGCCCTGATCCATGTGGATCAGCCAGGCAAGATGTTCAGACAGAGCTCAACATCTCAGAGCCGAATGACCTTGGTCTCTTGGCGCGGCTCCGTGGAGGATGTTGAGGTCTTGAGACATCTTTAGACTTAGACCCTTCCAATGCCCCGAAAGTCAGCAGTCAGACCTTGCTGTGAAGTTGATGACTCAGATGGAATTTTCATATCTTTGATAGAGAAAGCAATGAGAACATCCGACGGGAGGGTGGCAGACTTATTCCATCCAACTTCACCCAAAAGGAACTTGATTTGGCCTTTCTCACCGGGTCCGTCCAATGACAGGGCACCGCGTCATATCTGACAGGGGTGTCGTGTCGAAGATGGCTTTTGACACGGCATGAGCGTCAGCATCTGGAGTAAGGTTGATGTTGATGACGGTGGACAGTCCACAGTTGATACGGGTCGCAGGTTCTTCCAAGTCCAATGGTGGTAGATGAACAACTTGGCTTTTCATGAGGACTCACCACGAAAACACGTCAAATTCTGAGGTTCCAAGGTGGAAGCGGAGGTCTGGCGATCTGGGGGAAGTTGTTTCCACATTGGGATCCACAGGGACAAAGTTTCACAGAGTTGAGAAGTATTCACGAGGACGTGTTGGCGCGGTAGGTCGTATTGACTGATTTGACTGGCTTTATCTTGCTTTGTTGGGATCTACATTTTTTGCTATGACATTGTATCACATTGTATCCACCTTGATGATTTCCATAATTCGTCCTGTTGCGGCAAATGTCCCTCACTGGGTGACCTCCAAGCATTTCTCAGATTTCGGGTTTCAATCTTAGAAGAACCCTATGCAGGAAGCATATTTTCCACGCTTTTCTGCAACAGAAAAAACTAGAGCTGAATCTCTAAGATATCTTTTCGCTTAATTTTTTGGTAGTCCAAAATGTCGTGCTTGGCTTTCCAGGCAGATAAAACTGAAATCGAAAACTGCTGAGATCTCAGACTTGGGGATTCCATGGGATGATTCCTCACATGCTCAGGCTTGAGGATCCATGCTCAATGACATGTGACATTGGGCTCTGAAAGATGCGTTTATTAAATGCGTTTAACTTTGCTTTTGCACTTTGGGTGCTGCCAGTGCATGACAATCATTTGTTAATATTTGTTAGTAGTCCAATGAACCAAGCTCAGGAACGCAAAAGCCGCAAAATCTAGAATCTATACTATTATGACATTATGATACATTATGACTGATCCACCGGTATAAATTAAGAATAAACCTTGGACTGCCAGACATTCAGAGTTTCGGCTTTGAGGCGGAGACATCCTGCAGGCTGCGAAAGAAGGCAACGTCGGAGCTGTCCGACACTTGCTGCAGGTGGACCCCCAGAGCCTGGAGCAAGTCGACAGACTAGGCGGAAACCTGAGAAGGGATAGGCTTGAAGGTTGAGGAGGTTGTTATAGGTTCGCAGCTGTGACCTTCCAATCCAGTTGAGACTGTTTTTTGGTTGAGACTGATTTGAGACATGTTGCTGATACCAGTATGTCAGTATGTGTTTCAGTCGGAAGCCAAACTCCCAATTTTTCAGACCCTACCTAAATCCTCCGAAATCCTCCGAAGCAACTCATGTGACTTGGCGCGTCCCGTCGCCATCTCCAGCGGCGCCCTCCGGACCGAGGCGTCGGGCCGCTGGCGTATGCGGCTGTGGAAGGCCACCTGGAGGTGGTCCAGGTGCTGCTGGCCGCGGGCGCCTCCGTCGAGGCGAAGAACCACAACGGCCGCGGCCCTCAGAGACGGGACGGATGTGACAGGACGGACGTGGTGGGAAGGCGGTGCAACAGGCGAAATGTGGAAGAGATGCGACACGCCATTGAGTTTGCTGCCAGTTTTAAGGAATTTTCAGTGTACTTTACGTGATTCCATGTTGAGAAGTCAACTACCAGGAGACAGCAGTTGCAAGTTTGTGTTGCGCGGATGTCACACAGTGGTTCGTGTGGTTGAGTCAAGTTTAGGGGACATTTTGCGGGTCTAGTGTTATTAATTATGGAAGCTGGATGCAAATGGATTCTAATGATTTTCTTGCTGAGATTGTAGTGTGTTCTTGTGAATCTTTGATCTGGTTTGCAGTGTTTCGGCACGGCAGAGGTGTGACTTCCCAATCAGTTGATCCTGATTTCGATAGGCAGTGATACATGTCTCAATTAGAAATGGTGGACCAAACATGACCAAATTCCCAGTTTTTCAGACCCGAAATCCTCCGAAGCAACTCATGTCGACTTGGCGCGGCCCGTCGCCATCTCCAGCGGCGCCCTCCGGACCGAGGCAACGGGCCGTTGCACTTTGCGGCTCAGGAAGGCCACCCGGAGGTGGTCGAGGCGCTGCTCGCCGCGGGCGCCTCCGTCGAGGCGAAGGATGACGACGGCCGCGGCCCCCAGAGACGGGACGGATGTGACAGAGATGCGACACGCCATGGAGTTTGCTGCCAGTTTTGGGAACTTCGTTCCAGGAATCTTCAGTGTACTTTACGTGATTGCATGTTGAGAAGTCAAGTACCAGTAGACACCAGTTACAAGTTTGACAATATTATTCAGAGTGGTTCGGGTGGTTGAGTCAAGTTGAGGAGACATTTTGCGGGTCTAGTATTGTTAATTATGGCAGATGGATGCAAATGGAATCTAATGATTTCTTGCTTAGATTGTAGTGTGTTATTGTGAATCTTTGATCTGGTTTGCAGTGTATGGCACGGCAGAGGTGTGACTTCCCAATCAGTTGATCCTGATTTTGATTGGCAGTGATACATGTCTCAGTTGGAAATGGTGGACCAAACATGACCAAACTCCCAGCTTTTCACCCCCGAAATCTTCCGAAGCAACTCATGTCGACTTGGCGCGGCCCGTCGCCATCTCCAGCGGCGCCCTCCGGACCGAGGCGACGAGCCGCTGGCGATGGCGGCTGCCGAAGGCCACCTGGAGGTGGTCGAGGCGCTGCTGGCTGCGGGCGCCTCCGTCGAGGCGAGGGGTAGCGTCGGCCGCGGCCCCCAGAGCCGGACGGACGCGACAGGACGGACGTGGTGGGAAGGCCTTGCCACGGATTTCAGGATGAAATTGGATGGTGTTTGCCACCTTAGCTGGAGATGAACCCAGGTGAGAGCCACAGGGTGGACAATTTGAAGGAAATCAGGCACATGAAGTCATGAAGTTCTCCCTGCTGGGATGCACAGCTTCTGAGAGGTGATCTCCCACATGTGCAACCTTGATCAACCCTTTATGGGTGTAAAAGAGCCTGATACATAAGGTTTTATGATGTTTTATCAGACATACAATCAGTTCGGTTTTGCTTTTCCGGGTTTCAGCTTTGGAAGGTATGATCAGGTCGTAGTCGTAGTCTTGTTGATCTTCACAAACACCAGCAACGATAGTGGCTGCCATTGAGCCAGCTTGCCACACATTTTTGAAAAGGATGAAACTCCATGTTGAGAAGTCAACTACCAGTAGACAGCAGTTGCAAGTTTGTGTTGCGGGTATGTCACACAGTGGTTCGGGTGGTTGAGTCAAGTTTAGGGGACATTTTGGGGGTCTAGGATTATTAATTATGGCAGATAGATGCAAAAGAGGGCTTGAGAATACTTGAGTTATGTTGAGATAAGTTTTGTTAGGCGTAAGAAAACGGTTTTCCATGGTTTTCCCTTTTTGAGATTTTCTGTTGTGAAAGGTTCCATCAGTTCGTAGTCTTGGTGATCTTAATAAACACCAGCAACGATAGTGGCTGCCATTGAACCTAGTGGCTGCCATTGAGCCAGCTCGCTATACAATTTTAAAAAAGATGAAACTCACGGACTTCACTCCACAGATTGCAGTTTCTCCCACTGCAGTGGGGGTGGGCGGTGGAGAGCCACGGGGTGGAGCCAGCCGTTGACGTCTCCGAGCCCTTCGGCGCCTGAGGTTCGACACCGCTGCACTACGCGGCTTTCGAACAACGAACGGTGGTGGGGACGACAGGGGGTGGAGTGCAGGGATGATCTGATGCAGAGTGAGTGGAAGAACAAACTCGGTGACAAGTTGTTCGATGATTTTTAATGCGTCATGTGCCATGGTGAGGTATTTTGGCAAGTGACTATACATGAGGTGACAAAGCGACAGAACACAGTGGCATCCACTGGTATCTTTGGGGTGCCCCATCACTGCAGAGATATAACACGAATTGCCCACACGCAATGTCGACCTTTGACAAAACATTCTCTGCATGACGATGGTAAGACATCAATGTGAAACACCATGAGACGTCATAAAACATCTCGAGAGAGAAGAACTCTTGCACATTTGCTACCTGTACTGTATGGGCCTACTGTATGGGTGTGAAAGAGCGCTTGAAAGTGCCTGAGATATGTTGAAATAAGTTAGGCGTAAGAAAACGGTTTTCCCTTTTTGAGATTTTCTGTTGTGGACGGTTCCATCAGTTCGCAGTCTTGGTGGTCTTCACAAACACCAGCAACGATAGTGGCTGCCATTGAACCAGCTCGCTATACAATTTTGAAAAAGATGAAACTCACGGACTTCACTCCACAGATTCAAGCCTCTCCAGTGAAGTGTGGGGGTGGGCGGTGGAGAGCCACGGGGTGGAGCCAGCCGTTGACGTCTCCGAGCCCTTCGGCGCCTGAGGTCGGACACCGCTGCACGACGCGGCGAAACGGGGCCACACCGCCGCTGTGGAGCAGCTCCTCGCCGCGGGCGCCGCCGTGGATGCTGCGAACAACGAAGGCCAGGGGCCCCAGAAGCGGCCGGTGGTGGGGACGACAGGGGGTGGAGTGCAGGGATGATCTGATGCAGAGTGAGTGAAAGAACAAACTCGGTGACATGTTGTTCGATGATTTTGAATGCGCCATGTGCACAGAGCTGTGACAGGATAAAACTAATAGTTGGTAATTCGTGTAGATGGAATTGGGATATTTTGAATCTTCTAAAGCACATGCACTGCACCAGCGAAGCCAGAAACACGAACGTATTCTGAGTTTGTTTCAGGCTGTGGGGATTGCGTTTTTTGGCGCTGTCATGGTGGGATGTTTGGCAAGTGTCAACATGGGGTGACAAACCGACACAAGCCGCAGAACACAGTGGCATCCACTGGCACAGCGTATACCGAAACCACGGTAAGAACTTATTAAGAATGATATGATGTTGGCAACAGCGATTAGGATACCAACGATAAGGTTATATAAGTTATATATATAGTGCGTGATATGTAGGAAATGTGCTAGTAGGTCTTCCAGACATCAATGTAAAGCATCCGTAGAACAACTTGGAAAGCAGTGACACTAAATGAATCTAAATGATACTATCTGGATTTTGGGGCAAACTCGGTGACATGTTGTTTGATGACTTTTGAATGCGTCATGTGCACAGAGCTGTGGCAGGATAAAAGTAATAGGTGGTATTTGCTGTAGATGGGATTTGGATTTTGGGAATCTTCTCAAACGCTATGGTGAGATATTTGGCAAGTGATGATACATGAGGTGACAAAGCGACAGAACACAGTGGCATCCACTGGCATCTTTGGGACGCCCCATCACTGATGGGATATAGCACGAATTGCCCACACGCAATGTCGACCTTTGACAACACATTCTCTGCATGACGATGGTAAAACATGGATGTGAAACACCAAAAGGCATCATAAGACATCTTGAGAGAGAAGAACTCTTGCACATTTGCTACCTGTATGGGCCTAATTGGGCCTACTACTGTATGGATGTGAAAGAGCGCTTGAAAATGCTTGAGATGTGTTGAGATAAGTTTTCTTAGGCGTAAGAAAACGGTTTTCCCTTTTTTCGGATTTTCTGTTGTGGAAGGTTCCATCAGTTCGTAGTCTTGGTGGTCTTCACAAACACCAGCAACGATAGTGGCTGCCATTGAACCAGCTCGCTATACAATTTTGAAAAAGATGAAACTCACGGACTTCACTCCACAGATTCAAGCCTCTCCAGTGAAGTGTGGGGGTGGGCGGTGGAGAGCCACGGGGTGGAGCCAGCCGTTGACGTCTCCGAGCCCTTCGGCGCCTGAGGTCGGACACCGCTGCACTACGCGGCTTTCAACGGCCACGCCGCCGTCGTGGAGCAGCTCCTCGCCGCGGGCGCCGCCGTGGATGCTGCGAACAACGAAGGCCAGGGGCCCCAGAAGCGGCCGGTGGTGGGGACGACAGGGGGTGGAGTGCAGGGATGATCTGATGCAGAGTGAGTGAAAGAACAAACTCGGTGACATGTTGTTCGATGATTTTGAATGCGCCATGTGCACAGAGCTGTGACAGGATAAAACTAATAGTTGGTAATTCGTGTAGATGGAATTGGGATATTTTGAATCTTCTAAAGCACATGCACTGCACCAGCGAAGCCAGAAACACGAACATATTCTGAGTTTGTTTCAGGCTGTGGGGATTGCGTTTTTTGGCGCTGTCATGGTGGGATGTTTGGCAAGTGTCAACATGGGGTGACAAACCGACACAAGCCGCAGAACACAGTGGCATCCACTGGCACAGCGTATACCGAAACCACGGTAAGAACTTATTAAGAATGATATGATGTTGGCAACAGCGATTAGGATACCAACGATAAGGTTATATATACAGTGCGTGATATGTAGGAAATGTGCTAGTAGGTCTTCCAGACATCAACGTAAAGCATCCGTAGAACAACTTGGAAAGCAGTGACACTAAATGAATCTAAATGATACTATCTGGATTTTGGGGCAAACTCGGTGACATGTTGTTTGATGACTTTTGAATGCGTCATGTGCACAGAGCTGTGGCAGGATAAAAGTAATAGGCTTATTAGTGATAGGTGGTATTTGCTGTAGATGGGATTTGGATTTTGGGAATCTTCTCAAACGCTATGGTGAGATATTTGGCAAGTGATGATACATGAGGTGACAAAGCGACAGAACACAGTGGCATCCACTGGCATCTTTGGGACGCCCCATCACTGATGGGATATAGCACGAATTGCCCACACGCAATGTCGACCTTTGACAACACATTCTCTGCATGACGATGGTAAAACATGGATGTGAAACACCAAAAGGCATCATAAGACATCTTGAGAGAGAAGAACTCTTGCACATTTGCTACCTGTATGGGCCTAATTGGGCCTACTACTGTATGGATGTGAAAGAGCGCTTGAAAATGCTTGAGATGTGTTGAGATAAGTTTTCTTAGGCGTAAGAAAACGGTTTTCCCTTTTTTCGGATTTTCTGTTGTGGAAGGTTCCATCAGTTCGTAGTGTTGGTGGTCTTAATAAACACCAGCAACGATAGTGGCTGCCATTGAACCAGCTCGCTATACAATTTTGAAAAAGATGAAACTCACGGACTTCACTCCACAGATTGGAATTTCTCCCACTGCAGTGGGGGTGGGCGGTGGAGAGCCACGGGGTGGAGCCCTCCAGCCGTTGACGTCTCCGAGCCCTTCGGCGCCTGAGGTCGGACAGCGCTGCACTGGGCGGCTATCGACGGCGACGCCGCCGTCGTGGAGCGGCTCCTCGCCGCGGGCGCCGCCGTGGATGCTGCGGACAACGAAGGCCAGGGGCCCCAGAAGCGGCCGGTGGGGACGACAGGGGGTGGAGTGGAGGAATGATGTGATGCAGAGTGAGTGAAAGAACAAACTCGGCGACAAGTTGTTTGATGATTTTGAATGCGCCATGTGCACAGAGCTGTGGCAGGATAAAACTAATAACTAATAGGTGGTAATTCCTGTAGATGGAATTGGGATGAATTGTTTTTTTTGAATCTTCTAAAGTGCATTCACTGCACCAGGGAAGCCAGAAACATGAACGTATTCTGAGTTTGTTTCAGGCTGTGGGGATTGCTTTTTTTGGGGCGCTTTCATGTTCAGATGTTTGGCATGTGTCAACATGGGATGACAAACCGACACAAGCCACAGAAGACGGTGGCATCCACTGGCACAGCGTATACCGAAACCACGGTAAGAACTTATTAAGAATGATATGATGTTGGCAACAGCGGTCAGGATAACTAACGATAAGGTCATGTATAGCGGGTGATATGTAGGAAATATGCTAGGATGTCTTCCAGACATCAACGTAAAGAATCCGTAAAACAACTTGAAAAGCAATGACACAAAATGAATCTAAATGATACATAATGATATACTATATACTATCTATCTGGATTTGGGGGCCCAAACTCAGCCCCACATCTGTCTACACCGGGCCGTTGCACTTCCAGCTGCGTAGAGCAAGGCGACACGCCGTACGACAGAGCCAAGCACTTCGGCCGCCGGAAGGTGATGGGTGTCCTGGACCCGGTCCCTTGGCGCTGGGATGAACATCCCTTGGTGGACCAGGGCTTCGGCACACGTGGGCTATAGGAACCTATGAAGAAATGACGGTGGTTCTTATTGGGTCGTTGCAATCCTGATGTTGTTAAGGTGTCATGCGCTCGAATTGACTCCGATGCGTTGCCATTCTTTTAGTGAGGTATTTGTGGCCCTTCTCAGTGGCCGGAGCTGCAAATGTGCCTCGGCTGCTCCGAAATTTGCAGTGGGCAAATGGTGGACAGGTACTTTAGTGCCATAATATGTCGCAATCTTTTGCCAGTCAATGTGTAGAATTTGAAGAGAACCAAGCAATTGAAGTGCTCAAAAGATGATGCATGAGGTGAGTGACTTGTTCACTTGACACGACCTGCAGATATGAAAGGCTGATTGGAGCAAAGGAACAGTACGGTTTGTTGGGTGCCACACATCAACGTTTCTGATATTTTCCGTCAAACCTGAGCTGTTGGTGAGTGGCTGTTATGTGCAACCTGGGAATGCAAAGCAACTTGGACACTCAGGTAATTCTTACCACGAGACGGTGCAGGAATTGAAGGAAGAAGCAGAGCAGCTTGGCTTTCTCTGAGGCCATATCAACCCAGCTTGGGCGATATGCTCGTGTTCTTGTTTTTTTGGCGCTGTCATGGTCCTGGTGGGATGTTTGGCAAGTGTCAACATGGGGTGACACACCGACACCAGCCACAGAAGACAGTGGCATCCACTGGCACAGTAAGAACTTGTTAAGAATGATATGATTTTGGAAACAGCGATTAGGATACCAACGATAAGGTTATATATAGTGGGTGAAAGTGGGTGATATGATATGTAGGAAATATGCTAGTACGTCCTCCAGACATCAACGTAAAGCATCCGTAAAACAACTTGAAAAGCAATGACACTAAATGAATCTAAATGATACTACTGGTATCTGGATTTTGGGGCCAAACTCAGCCCCACATCCGTCTACACCGGGCCTTGGCACTTTCAGCTGCGTATCGCAAGGCAAGACGCCGTACGACTACGCCAAGCAAAACGACCACCGGCAGGTGATGGGTGTGCTAGACCCGGTCCCTTGGCGCTGGGTTGAGCATCTCTTGGTGCACCAAAGCTTCGGCACACGTAGGCTATAGGAACTCACCAAGAAATGACAGTGGTTCTTATTGGGTCGTTGCAATCCCGATGTTGTTAAGCTGTCATGCGCTCGAATTGACTCCGATGCGTTGCCATTCTTTTTGTGAGGTATTTGTGGCCCTTCTCAGTGGCCGGAGCTGCAAATGTGCCTCGGCTGCTCCGAAATTTGCAGTGGGCAAATGGTGGACAGGTACTTTAGTGCCATAATATGTCGCAATCTTTTGCCAGTCAATGCGTAGAATTTGAAGAGAACCAAGCAATTGAAGTGCTCAAAAGATGATGCATGAGGTGAGTGACTTGTTCACTTGACACGACCTGCAGATATGAAAGGCTGATTGGAGCAAAGGAACAGTACGGTTTGTTGGGTGCCACACATCAACATTTCTGGAATTTTCCGTCAAACCTGAGCTGTTGATGAGTGACTGTTATGTGCAACCTGGGAATGCAAGCAAATATGACACTCAGGTAGTTCTTATCACGAGACGGTGCAGGAATTGAAGGAAGATGCAGAGAGGCTTGGCTTTCTCCGAGGCCATATCAAACCATCTTGGTCGAAATGCTTGTGTTCTGTTGGTCTGACAACGTTTGCAGTTCTTGCATTCTGATCTACAGTAATGCGTTTGTGAGATGGACATATGCTAATTAATATTCCATGAGCCGACTGATGGCGATTTTTTTTTATATCTTGGACTCGCATGGCCATACTTTGACTGTGCTGAGTCTTTTTCATTTCCATCTCCCTGAGTCTGTAGGAGTTGTTTCATGCAGTTGGTATTATTGAAGAAGATACAATATGGTAGGCTCTGAACGAAGAAATTTACATCCCTCCTCCAATGTACTTGACAGGGCAAATTAGGCAGCCTCTTCTGTCCACTGCCTTTGTTGCAATAAGACTTCCTGGATTCCTCAATGGACCATGTTGGCCGAGAATGCACGGACAACAATGGTATGACGACACACATAGCAACAGCATGCAAACCCATGGCAAAATATATGCGACGGCGACAACATGTTTTTGCGTTTCGCAGCAAGTCCAAAGATGTTTGTGCCGTAATTCATATGATTGTGCAAATTGAACATATCATCCCGGTATTCAGAGGCATGGCGTTGCCTACCCACGGCTACACAAGACCCGTGATGCTTTAATAAGCTACTGTAAGTTCCCTGCAGTCCGAAATTGGCTTATGAAGGGTGAATGAGCCATTGCAGATCGAGGCTTGCACTTCCCCAACATTATTTATAGGATTGATGAGGTCTATCATATCATTATCTTTCATTGCATCTGGCACTCCTGTTTGTCCCATGGGAAAGATGGGATATGCAGGGGTGATAGTCAGATCTTAGTGAGCTCACGCGCTGTCACCAAGATGTGACCCTGGCATGTGTCAGTTGGCCCTGCCGGACACCCCGTGCTCCGCCGGGCCACGCGTCGCGATTCCGAGGAAGAAACTCGGAATCACCATCCAGCGTCTCATTGGGGTGAACATGGAACCATTGCTGCTTGGCACAGAACTTGATGCTGAATAGAGGGACGACGTTTAGATGTATTTAGATTCTATACGAATCTGGATGCTCACCGGGTCAGTGACAAGACTCTTCAGTGACGATGGGGACCTCCGTGTTTCGAGGTGGTTTGATGTTAGAATCTTTCACCCCATGCAGCTGGGGACGTTCAATGTGATTAGGTGACCAAGGTCGTTGAGAAGGGAAATCTTTGAGCACCAAAGAAATTACGTGCCAGTGGGTTTTGAAGGCCCTGTCGGCATAGTAAATGCTGCAACTGCAACCCGGATTTCCCTGATGACAAAAGACAAATACAGTATATTAATGTATATTATACAATGCGATGGGAAAGCAGTTTGATAGTCCTTCTAACGAGACAGAAAGTGCAGCTGTTGCTGTTTGTTCGAGAGAGTCAGTGACAGAGTGATGTGGAACATTGCAGAACAAACAGCAGAAGCGGCCACAAATGCAAAGGTCTGCCGTTTGGGAACTATTGGGAATGAAAGCGCTTGTCACATCTTATCACATTTTATCACATCTTATCATCCAAAGTGCAAGCTTAGCATGGATATTGCGATTAAGCGCAAGTTTTACGAGGTCAATTCAAATCCTGCTTTTCCGTGACTTTGTAGGTTAATTCTTGGTAGCATTCAGTTTTACATGTGCTTAAGTAAGTTGACCATGTCCCTACCCACGGTTGGTTCAAAGTGATTCACGGGTCGTTCACGGATCAGTCACGGTCTGTTTGTGCTCGGCAGCGAGCGCGGCATTCCAGAGAAAGTGGTCCAGATCTGATAAATTTGACTAATCTTGGATGACTTGGTTTGATCGAAAATCCCAATGTTTTTGAACCGCGAAGACTCCTCTTGGTTAGAGAAGATATCGCACAGTGAAGGATTATCATATGCAAGTAGAACCAGTTGATTAAGATAAGTCGAACAAGTTTGACAAGGTCATTGATCTACAGAGATCCTAAGATCCTAGCAATTTATACCAGGCATCACTGCACTCTTTAGATGCATTGGTCATGCTGGCTTTAAGCGAACTTACTCTGATCCTCACAACGCAGTCGCAATAGACTTGTAATTGTAGGAGTCAACTCTTGAAGCTCTGGAGCGACTGCATCAACCCCAAATTTGTCAAGTTCGCGGTCCCAAACAATTTGGAGCTTGGTCCAGCCATCAGGAACGAAGCAAAGACTTTGAAAGAAGCCGGTGTTTTGCCTGGACATACGTTGACCGCAGTCATCGTTCCCCGGCCTGCAAGAGTGATGTGAGTCACGCATTGCCATGGGAAGATTCTGATTGGAACTCGATTTTACAAGAAAACACTGCCAAACCGGCAACAAACTGTCGATTCAATTCAGCCCAAAGTCATGAGATCAGTTCTTAGCTCCGCACAGTTGTTATCGCATCCCTTATGGTGACCAAGATGTTTGCAAATTAGCTGCAGAGCACCTTTTCTTGATCATGTTTTTCCCTGCTACATTTTGCTTCGAAGCTATGTAGGCGCCAGCAGCGGGGCAGGGTGACGTCTCAGAGGCGGGTCGTATCGATGTGGGACACAACATTCTGCGGGGAGGCTCTGGAATTCCCGTGAAATGACGGCCGGGTGGGCCAGAACTTCAATGGCAGCCACTTTGAAAGTTGCAAGATTTGCCAATGTCCAGTCTTTGGATGCAGCTCCATGTAGCTAGGTGATGGCGGAGTTCTCATGTGCGTATTTCTGTGCGTAAAGGATTGCAAATGGTGTACGGTTGCGTTGCTTGGGTCTGCGTTGCTGGGATCAACTCCAAAGGTTCATGAGATAACATCCGAAGACGGAACCCAGACATTTGAGATGCCCCTTCAACAAGCACAGCATCTCTATACACACCTGATTTTCATGATACGCAGTGATTTCTGTTGAATTTCTGTAGAACATGGCTGGATCCCACAGGAGAAGCAGTTGCCAGAGGATGAAGGCCGCAAAGATGATGGCGCTTGTGATTGATCAGGGTAATCAATGCTATAATTATAAAATGCTATCAATTAGTGGTAGTTAGTTCTTATAGTTGGGTGGATAAGAGTGGATGTCTGCTAAGAGACAAGGTCAGTAGGGTATTCAATGCAGCACTTACAAACACACATCAGTCAAGCTGTCAACCATCAACAGGTATTCCAATTAGTTGGATCCAAAGTCACACATCATCTCCAGGGTCTGATTTTTGAGAGTTTGGGACCGGAATTGACTGAGCCACAATGAAATCCAGGGGCTGCTCTAGCAGTCACGGTCCGGCTGTATGATGCTGCGAGGCGATCTGCAAAATCCCAACGACTTCATCGAGTTCCTCATCTCCGCGAATATTCGGCTGGTCCGCGCCGAGTTTTTGATCGAGCTGGATGAGACTGGGACCCCCATGCCTCGCCGACAAGAGGCAGAGTTCATGCACGTGCAGAGTGGGGCAACTGCACTGGTGGAGCTTGGTGAGTACAAAGAGTTGCACGTGAATCAAACATCAGGCTGGCTCAGTCCCTGCAAACATCCAGAGGTACAGAAACACCAGGGATGATTTCAAATGACTTTACGGTCTCAAATCGTTTTTTCCTCACATCCAAGGGTTCAAAAGTAATCAAGGGTCACATGTTATACTAGTGGCGCTGATCTGTTCAATTAACATTGAGCCATTTCGAAAAAACCGTGAGTCAAAGAAGCTGAACTTGGCACTTGGCTTGAGAGTTACTTCCAATAGCGCTACTCTTAAATTTACTAGAGAAGAACCGCCATCCGGATTACTTACATTACGGATGCCAGAGCCCACAGTGGATCCCACAAACTATTGAAATCAGAGTAGGCCCATGATTTTGCGACAGAACATACCTGAGTTCTACCAGGTTAGATTTGCGATGGATCCTACTTTGTCCAAATACTTTTTGCGATGGATCCTACTTTGTCCAACATTAGTTTGCGATGGGACCTACCCAAATCCATCTCAAAGCGCTTCAGGTGAGACTGATAGGAAACCAATGACTTGTCTCAAACAATTTGGGGGATTTTGTGCCATCTGTCTCAAATGGATGTGGTAGAGATGCTTTTTTGAAATTCAATTTAGAGATGGATTTGGGTGAGACTTATCTCTAAGCATTGCTTTGGACTGGCAAGCCTTTTCAGACACATGTCCAGTACCAATACCCCTAATACTGGCAGGCTGTGTTTGAGATGGGGTCTACCCAAATCCATCTCTAAACCAAACTGTTGCCTAACACTCAAAACCCTAGAGCTTTGAGACAAATCATGTTAAACCTTGCTAGCACATACCATGGCCATAGTTAGATTTGGCATCATTTTGAGATGGATTTGGGTAGGTCCCATCGCAAACTAATGTTGGACAAAGTAGGATCCATCGCAAAACGTATTTGGACAAAGTAGGACCCATCGCAAATCTAACCTGGTAGAACTCAGGTATGTTCTGTCGCAAGATCATGGGCCTACTCTGATTTCAATAGTTTGTGGGATCCACTGTGGGCTCCGGCATCCGTAATGTAAGTAATCCGGATGGCAGTTCTTCTCTAGTAAATTTAAGAGTAGCGCTACTGTATATATTGGAAGTAACTCTCAAGCCAGGTGCCAAGTTCAGTTTCTTTGACTCACGGGTTTTTCGAAATGGCTCAATGTTAATTGAACAGATCAGCGCCACTAGTATAACATGTGACCCTTGATTACTTTTGAGCCCTTGGATGTGAGGAAAAAACGATTCAAGATGGCAAACATAATTGTATATTATTGTAGATCGATGGATGTTGTGCTAGATTTCTGGTCCGCATATGATTGAATTTTATTGTAATCATCAGATTTATACTTGTCTGGCACTACATAGTGTCTGCCCTGTGAGGACACGTCACAATCCGCACGGCTGAGGGCCCCTCCATAGTGCGATTCCGGTCAATCTCCCACATGTGGGAGGCAATGGAGCATCCGGATCCCTGGGGATTCCAGGTCCGCAGCATTGTGGAGAGGTACCGAGAATTACCCAAGGATTCGGTGACTTGGGTCTTCGTGGACTTCCTGTCGCTGTATCAGTACAAGAGATCTGCTGAAGAAGATGAGTTCTTCAGGAAGGGGCTGAAGCGAATGCACTGGCTGTACAGTCATGAGATTGTGCAGGTAGACATCCTCACTGAACTCACACCTGAGGACAAGAAGTTCGAGGGCGAGATTTTGGTGTACAACGCGACGGAAGACCAGGTGAAAGTGACACCAATCTGCGAGCTGAGGCTGAACAACACCCCCTATGAGCTTCGAGGTTGGTGCCAGAGTGAATCTGAGTGGTCCCGCCTGCGTATGGATGTGCTTGGAGGTTGTATTCCCACTCCTCCAGAAATATTCAGGAAGAGGATGCAACGGATGCGGTTCACGCATCGAAATGATGCCGAGCAGGTGCTTGCATTGCAAGAAAAGGTGTTCAGAGACAAAGTCTCCAGGACAACACACTTGCAGCTCCAACAACTCTCTGGGGATGACTTGGAATGTCTACATGACGCCTTGCCACACTACACCAAACTGGAGTACATGGTGGTGAACGGCAATGCCCTGAAGGGGCAAGATGCCGCGGCGATGGTGACCTCAGGTGCGGCGGACATCCAAATGGAGTCGTGTTCTCTACAAGATGAAGATGCAGGTGCAATATCAGAGGCACTGATGAGCTCAGCTGCTGATCGATTGGAACATCTGAGTCTGACTGGAAACCGTTTTTTGGCGATATGTTTGGCATTGTTTTACATTGTTTTGAACCTTTGGAATGACGGCATGTTTTTTTCACCCCCAATCTCGGAAAGATGAACGAAGATGTTGGAGTCTGTGAGATGAGAAGATGTTGAAATGGACACAACTCAAAGTTGTAGCAGCCAGGCTTCAGTGACATCGGGACAGCTGCCCTTCGCAAAGTGATGGAGCAGCGACCGCAGCTGAAGATCCGATTGTAGATTTAGAATGATTCAGATAGATTTAGATGGTCAGTCGGACGGGCTGCTACCAAGTTGCGACACCGCAAGTCTATGAAACCGTGTGGGGATTTCCATACATAGGGATACCCCAAAATGGATGTTTAAATGGATGGGTTATAATGGACAATTCTATGTTTAAATGGATGATTTAGGGGCACCACATTTCAGGAAACCCCCATGTAGGAAATCGGAGTTGGCCAAAGGATATGCCGCAATGCACTTGCCATGTCTTCGGAGAATGAATGAAGCGCAGGAGAATTGGAGCAGAACTTTACAGCCACTATATCCGGAAACTCCAACTGAAGCACACCAAAAGAATCCAAAAAAAATACAAGTCCAATTGGTACAGTGCAATATCCTTTGGCCTGCTAGAGAACGTCACCAGATCATTTGCACATCATGTTTCACGCGCTGAATTGTGTTTGTCGACAAGGCGCACAGAATTTCACATGCTGTTGCCGAACATGGCATAGCAATTGCAACAATTGGGCGAAGGAAAACAGATTGCGAAGATGTGGCCATGGCCTGAAAACCAGGGATGTCCTGGGATGATTGGGATACGCTTTGAGAAGGCGTTCCCATTTTGAAGGGTTGGAGTCTTCAGTGCAATGGGAAAGCTTCCTTCTGTGAGGTGAATTATCTACAGATGGTACCAAATGGGGATGAACGGCAAGGAAAATGAATTCTGTACATCACATTGATTTGTCATCGCACAGAGTATCATGGTTCTTCCTGCATATGGCCAGCTGGATCAAGATGTCAGGAAACTTTTATGTCTCAGTGGCTTCACTGGTGGCTTTCATCACTTTATTTTGTAGTATCTCACAAAGGTATATGTAGCTAGAGCCAGGCCCTTCCTTTCCCCAATTCGAAGTCAAAATTCCACCAACCGTTATCACTTCTAAGTCCCTTTCTAAACGTAACATCAATCAATTCGGAATTCAAATACACACATGCATATCCACAATACATGTATCACATTCAGATATCTTCACGTTCTTCATATTATGATATGTTTCTATACATATCCCCTACATCTCAGGTTACCCCGCAGGTGTCACACCAACCGAAAGCCAACGTCACAACGTCGCCATGCGGGACCCAGCCCGTCACGATGTGGTGACCGCAGCCGCGGCACCCTGGACGGTGCCGAAGAAGGTACCTCCCAGGGCGAATGGGTCATCAAACCATGGAGGAAACCATGGGGAAAACGAGGAAAACCGAGGTTTTCAGCTTTTGGATTCTGGGGGTCTTCTCAAACTAAGTTTTGGATCAACCCAAATACTTTGGTAAATGGGTTTGTTCTTAAAGTGGCGGACCCCAAGTTATCAGTTATCATCCCAAATTCTCCATTATCTGTGGGGGGAACCAAAGGCTTTGGGGTACTCCAAGGTATCTCCAAGGTTACAGTTTAAGGGGCCACATAATGGTTCTTGTAACAGGAGGAATCTCAAACATGGATCAACATGGTTGCAGGTATTATAGTTTAGAAATCATCGTAATTTGATTGGAGTTTTTGAATGGTTAAACAGATATCTCGATCATATGGGCTTAAACATAGTGTTGTTAATGGCTATTAGATGTTTAAGGGTCACAGTGCCAGAATTGCTTGAGGAGAACATTTGCAGGCTTTACCTCCATATTTGAAAAGAAAAAACATGGTTCCCCAACAAGATTTTCCCTGAATGTTTCCTCGTGATGTCAGCGGCGAGTTTGATTTACGATAAAGGGGATGGTCAACGGTTTCATCCACCAGAGTGCTCCCATGATTGTACTTCTTTTGGGCTGAAGTATGGATCTAAACACAAAGTTCAGCTTAGTATGGATTATATAATTAGATATGGGATTTTTCGTCTGAAATATGGAACTAGTTCCATATATCTAATTTGCTTTTCTTTTTATGACACATGTGCCCCCAAGGGCATCAATCCATGTGTGGATTCCCATGGGAGGGATGACCATATCAGATCGTTGGTGATTAACGTCCATTTTTGTCATTATAATTCCTGGAATTGTGGATGGTTTAGTCAAAATAAAATCCCTTGATCATCCCATTGAGTACACATCGAACTTGACGATAGCAGCGATAGCACATGTGCAATCTATCATATTTTATTCATTTTTTTATAAGATATGTCCAACTGTATATCCTACTACCAGTATCCCCACCATAATATCATTGTAATCCCATAAACTGATTGGTGATCCAGGCTTTTCACTGGGATGGCCCTCATCAGAGCCCCTTGCCGAAGCAGACAGGTGTGCCAATAGCAACCGTTATTGGTGGGGGTTTTCTATTGGTGAGACCATCGGTCACCATCAATTGGTTGCATCCTCCCTGTCATGTGGACTTTTCTGGCCACCGAGGACAATGAATTACATGAGAATGGTGAAGAGGCGACTGGAAGAGAGAAGAGTTCTAGTGATGGTCCAAGCTCAGGTCGGCCAAAGTTTCGCCGAGCTGACGCGGATAGGATTGGCCCGTGCCAAAGGCATGGTGGCCTTCTGCACGTCGGACTACGGCGCCTATACAGGTGCTGGTTACGAAACCTTCCATGAATTGGAATATGCACACGACAACAAGTTGCATATCTTTCCCATTAGGCTCTGCGAAGAGTGGCCACCCGCGCCGCAAAACAATCCAAGAGGCACTTTTCGAAATGAATTTGTGTTCAAGAACGGCTTAGTATACGTAGACGATCGGCAGATGAACAATGCCGAAGGCGCTGCCGATCAGATTGCGGATTCTGTTACCAGAAGTGGCATCTTTGCCAATTAGGCAAAGTCAAAAAAAAATCGAAAAATGTGGCAGAAATCAAAAAACGTACTGCTGCCGGATTCCACCCTCTCATGGTGCGCTCCTTTGTGATTTTGGATTAAATTAGGTCAAGTAACAGGCTGATCATCCTTAACGATCAGAAGAGTTCACCCGAAGTGAGACATTCAAAACATCTAGAATATGGGCCTCAAAGTCCTTGTTACTCTAAGATTTCGAAAGCAAGGCAGGCAGATGAACCTGAAAAGAACCTTGCAGTTGAGCATGCGCTGAGTCGCAAAACCTTTGGACGTTTGCTTCAGGCAGTGACAGGCCGTAGGTATTTGTTGCGGTTGTTTGAAGGTGATTCATGTGCACATTATACTCATTATACCAAAGGTTCGAATTCCTGTAGTTCTCGGCTCAGCTTACACTTTTTTTCACCCAGAGTTCATTGACCATCAGGGTTGAAAGAGACATCACGCCATGACTAACCTAGACTATGAATCTTAAGCATGCTGGTGAATCTGGATTGCAGACCCGGCTTGTTGCTTACGGCGAAAAATGGCTTATGCCGTTCCAGAGCCTGTCCTGGTTTTGAAATCAATGGATTGCCAGACCTCCAGAGTTTCAACAGGTGATTCACTTGGAACCATGTTGCCCTGAAGTTTTCATCATCATTTTCACAAAAAGTTTCACCATCCTTGCGGAAATTCCCCTAGGGAATTCCACCTTCATGGCAAAGGATGGCCAAGATACTTCGGCAGGGCGTCCCAGATGTGAGACCTCCAACTTCGGAATCTACGCTGTTCTGACGTTGGAAGCTGATATGGTGAAAACATGTGAAAACAACAAACTTGTTGGGATCAAGTCAGGGATTATTTCACCTGCTTCCTTGTTTCGAGTTAACACTCCATATCGTTGACATCCACGCCAAGAAGCGGCAAATCTATGCAAATTAATGCAATTCTAGGGTGGTAAGTCCGAAACCGTCAGTCAGGGCCAAGGCTGTTGATGTACCTTAGGGATGTCCCAAAAAACAGTGGGGGCATCCCAATCCCCAAACTGTTGCGTTTCCCAACAAAGGCAACGAAATGGTCCATGGTGGATTCTTGTTGGGTCTCCACTTCAGAAGCACCCAACTTCTGAAGTTCCTGTCTAGCGCACCAGGCAGACCATGCTGGCGTCGAAGCAATTTTCCAGCACTTGGATCCCACCGGACTCTCGACTGCAACAGTTTTGGGATCTGCTGCGCGTTTTTGATGCAATCTGCTCCTGGGTTCGTGTCGTTGTGTCGTTGGACTCGGTGGGAAACGGGACTCAGGAAGTGGAACGCTCGGGAAGGAGGAGCTGCTGTCCATCCTCTCTGGCCTTGGCGTTTCTGATCAAGAGCTGCCTGGCTCACCTTGTCATGTCGGCATGTCCGCAGATGATCATAGTGACAGGACCTGAACTGCCAAAGGTATCCAAAAGTCAGAAATGGAGAAACGCCCCGTCCCTGGATGGATTGTAGCCACACACTTGTATCATTTGAACAATTCAGCCGTTTTGGGATTTGATGGAACTATCTCTTTACCATTCATCTCACTAAAATCAGGGATCACAAAACCACCAAGACACAGCTGCAATGTGGTGCTTCATTCGCCAAGGTTAGCCTTGCTTCAAACCACAGATGCTTGGTTTGATACATGCTGGATCAGCTTCAGGTCGTCATTGTTGACTTTGAGTTTCAGCTGTGGAGTGGTTTTCTGTCGCACTCAGACATGACTTGTCCGATGTTTTTGGGGAACACATTGAAAGATGGCAAGGAAGTCTAATTGAAGGTCAGTCGGCTGTGTTCAGGAGATGTTTCAAGACCAGCGAGTTCCCTACTCGCACTTCCTGCGGTGGATTTTCGCACCAGCATCCAACTCTGAGAGTGGTCATCAAGCCGATGTTTCATCGCATCTTGCCAGAATTAATACCGTCCTTCGGCCAGAACTGCCAAGGTTGTCATGATATGGTAAACACATGTCAGTATACACATAAAACAGGACATGATCCATTTGATGCCGCTTGGTGGTTTCAAGCCACTCTGTGGGCATTTCGATGATCGCTGTGAAGTCTTCGTTCCTTCCCAAGTTTTTCATCGCCCTGATCCATGTGGATCAGCCAGGCAAGATGTTCAGACAGAGCTCAACATCTCAGAGCCCAATGACCTTGGTCTCTTGGCGCAGTTCCGTTGAGGATGTTGAGGTCTTGAGACATCTTTGGGCTTAGACCCTTCCAATGCCTTGAAAGTCAGCAGTCAGACCTTGCTTTGAAGTTGATGACTCAGATGGATTTTTCATATCTTTGATAAAGAAAACAATGAGAACATCGGATGGGAATGTGGCAGACTTATTCCATCAACCTCACCGAAAAGGAACTTGATTGGGCTTCACTCACCGGGGCTATCCATGACAGGGCACCACGTCATATCCGACAAGGGTGTCGTGTCGAAGATGGCTTTTGACACGTCATGAGTGTCAGCATCTGGAGTAAGCATAGATTCTATGAATGGTTGATGTTGATGACGGTGGACAGTCTACAGTTGATACGGGTCGCAGGTTCTTCCAAGTCCAATGGTGGTAGATGAACAACTTCGCTTTTCATGAGGACTCACACGAAAACACGTCAAATCCTGAGGTTCCAAGGTGGAAGCGGAGGACTGGCGATCTGGGGGAAGTTGTTTCCATTGGGATCCACAGGGGACAAAGTTTCACAGAGTCGAGAAGTATTCACAAGGACGTGTTGGCGCGGTAGGTCGTATTGACTGATTTGACTCGCTTTATCTTGCTTTGTTGGGATCTACATTTTTTGCTGTGATATTGTATCATATATTGTATCCACCTCGATGATTTCCATAATTCGTCCTGTCTGCGGCAAAAGTCCCTCACTGGGTGACCTCCAAGCATTCCTTAGATTTGGAGTTTCAATCTCAGACCAACCCAATGCAGGCATCATATTTTCCCCACGCCTTTTCTGCAACAGAAAAAACACTGGAGCTGAATCTCTAAGATATCTTTTCGCTTAATTTTTTGGTAGTCCAAAATGTCGTGCCTTTCCAGGCAGATAAAACTGAAATCGAAAACTGCTGAGATCTCAGACTTGGGGATTCCATGAGATGTTTCCTCACATGTTCAGGCTTGAGGATCCATGCTCAATGACATGTGACATTGGGCTCTGAAAGATGCGTTTATTAAATGCGTTTAAGTATGCTTTTGCACTCTGGGTGCTGCCAGTGCATGACAATCGTTTGTTAATATTTGTTAGTAGTCGAATGAACCAAGTTCAGGAACGCACAAGCCGCAAAAACTATACATATCTAATCATATCTATACTATTATGACATTATGACCGATCCACTGGTATAATATATTAAGAATAAACCTTGGACTGCCAGACATTGAGTTTCGGCCATTTTGAGGCGGAGACATCTTGCAGGCTGCGAAAGAAGGCAACGTCGGAGCTGTCGGACGCTTGCTGCAGGTGGACCCCCAGAGCCCGGAGCAAGTCGACAAAGACGGCGGACTCCTGAGAAAGGACAGGCTTGAAGGTTGAGGAGGTTGTTATAGCTTTGACTTCCCAATCCAGTTGAGACTGTACGACGTGTTTCAGTTGGAAGATGATCGACCTGTGACTTTGCACGTGGTGTCGCCATCATCAGCAGAGCCCTCTGGCTGAGGCGACGGGCCCCTGGCGAATGCGGCTTGGGAAGGCCACCTGGAGGTGGTCCAGGTGCTGCTCGCCGCCAGCGCCTCCGTCGAGGCGAAGAGCAAATTCGGCCGCGGCCCTCAGAGACAGGACGGATGCGACAGGAAGGATGTTGTGGGAAGGCGGTGCAACGGGTGAAATGTGGAAGAGATGCGACACGACATTGAGTTTGCTGCCAGTTTTGGGAACTTCGTTCCAGGAATCTTCAGTGTACTTTACGCGATTCCATGTTGAGAAGTCAACTACCAGTAGACAGCAGTTGCAAGTTTGTGTTGCGGGTATGTCACACAGTGGTTCGTGTGGTTGAGTCAAGTTTAGGAGACATTTTGCGGGTCTAGTATAGTTAATTATGGCAGATGGATGCAAACGGATTCTAACGATTTCTTGCTTAGATTGTAGTGTGTTATTGTGAATCTTTGATCTGGTTTGCAGTGTACGGCACGGCAGAGGTGTGACTTCCCAATCAGTTGATCCTGATTTCGATGGGCAGTGATACATGTCTCAATTAGAATTCTGGACCAAACATGACCAAACTCCCAGTTTTTCAGACCTGAAATCCTCCGAAATCCTCCGAAGCAACTCATGTGACTTGGCGTGTCCCGTCGCCATCTCCAGAGGCGCCCTCCGGACCGAGGCAACGAGCCGTTGCACCTGGCGGCTTTCACAGGCCACCTGGAGGTGGTCGAGGCACTGCTCGCCGCGGGCGCCTCCGTCGAGGCGAAGAACGATAAAGGCTGCGGCCCCCAGAGACGGGACCGATGCGACAGGACGGATGTGGTGGGAAGGCGGTGCCAGGGATTTCAGGATGAAATTCGATGGTGTTCGCCACCTTAGCTGGAGATGAACCTCCAGCAGGTGAGAGCCACAGGGTGGACAATTTGAAGGAAATCAGGCACATGAAGTCATGAAGTTGTCCCTGCTGGGATGCACAGCTTCGGAGAGGTGATCTTGCACATGTGCAACCTTGATCAACCCTTTATGGGTGTAAAAGAGCATGCTATTTAAGGTTTTATGATGTTTTATGAGGCATACAATCGGTTCGGTTTCGCTTTTCGGATTTTTTCCGCTTTGGAAGGTATGATCAGGTCGTCTTTATGACATAAGTATGACAAAACTTTTTTTTCTGTGACACAAACAAGCCAAAAAGGCTGGATCAAATTTGATTGTCATGGTGCAAAGCCAAAATGACTCAATAGTGGTTTGGCCCATTGACGTTGAAAACATGGGACAGACCCAAATTTATGACATAAAATTGTTTTATGACATCAGTACTCACTTCTCACCACTTTTTTTTTTATTATTTTGTTTTTTTCTGTGACAGAAACAACCCAAAAATGCTGGATCAAAAGCCAAAAGCAATTCATTGTTCTTATTGCAATGTTTTAAAGCCAAAATGACTCAATAGTGATTTGGCCCATTGACGTTGAAAACATGGGACACGCTCAAATTTATGTCATAAAACGGTTTTATGACATAAGTACTCACTTATGACAACAAGATGAAGCCCACGAACCCGAATGCTCACACGTATGTTAATGGTACAGATGTCAAAACACATGGTTATGCAGTCACGCACAATACCTTTCTGCAATAGTTTATTTGAACAGTCTTGTGCATGTTTCCCTTGTTACCAGTCGGCAGTGTGGAGTGGAAAGTGTAGAGTGTGGAGTGTGGAGTGAGAAGTAAGGAGTGTGGAGTGTAAAGTGTGGAGTGGGGAGTGTAGAGTGTGTAAAGTGTAGAATGCGGAGTGTAAAGTGTAGAGTGTGGAGTATGGAGTGTAAAGTGTAGAGTGTGGAGTGTAGAGTGTGGAGTGTAGAGTGTGGAGTGAGGAGTGTAAAGTGCAAAGTGTGGAGTGTCGAGTGTGGAGTGTAAAGCGAGGAGTGTAAAGTGTGGAGTGAGGAGTGTGGAGTGTAAAGTGAGGAGTGTAAAGTGTGGAGTGAGGAGTGTGGAGTTTGTAAATGGTAGAGTGTGAAGTGTAGAGTGTAAAGTGTAGAGTGTAAAGTGGAGAGTGTGGAGTGTAGAGTGTAGCGTTTGGAGTGTGGAGTGGAAAGTGTAGAGTGTGGCGTGTAGAGTGTGGAGTGTGGAGTTTAAAGTGTGGAGTGTAGAGTGTGGAGTGTGGAGTGTAAAGTGTAGAGCTGGTGTAGAGTGTGGAGTGTAAAGTGTGGAGTGTAAAGTGTGGAGTGAGGAGTGTAAAGTGGAAAGCGTGGAGTGTAAAGTGTAAAGTGTGGGGTGTATAGTGTGGAGTGTAAAATGTAGAGTGTGGAGTGTAAAGTGTAGAGTGTAAAGTGGAGAGTGTGGAGTGTAGAGTGTAGCGTTTGGAGTGTGGAGTGGAAAGTGTAGAGTGTGGCGTGTAGAGTGTGGAGTGTGGAGTTTAAAGTGTGGAGTGTAGAGTGTGGAGTGTGGAGTGTAAAGTGTAGAGTGTGGAGTGTGGAGTGTAAAGTGTGGAGTGTAAAGTGTGGAGTGAGGAGTGTAAAGTGGAAAGCGTGGAGTGTAAAGTGTAAAGTGTGGGGTGTATAGTGTAGAGTGTAAAATGTAGAGTGTGGAGTGTGGAGTGTAAAGTGTAGAGTGTGGAGTGTAAAGTGTGGAGTGTGGAGTGTAGAGTGTGGAGTGTAAAGTGTGGAGTGTAAAGTGTGGAGTGTGGAGCGTAAAGTGTAGAGCGTGGAGTCTGGAGTGGAAAGTTTGGTTTGTGGTGTGTAGAGTGTGGAGTGTGGAGTGTAAAGTGAGGAGTGTAAAGTTTGGAGTGCGGAGTGAAGAGTGTAGAGTATAAAGTGTGGAGTGTGGAGTGTACAGTAAAGTGTGGAGTGTGGAGTGCGGAGTGTGGAGTGGAAAGTGTAGAGTTTGGAGTGTGTAGTGTAAAGTGGGGAGTGTGGAGTGTAGAGTGTGGAGTGAGGAGTGTCAAGTGTAAAGTGTGGAGTGTGGAGTGTAAAGTGTAGGGTGTGGAGTGTGGAGTGGAAAGTGTAGAGTGTGGTGTACAGAGTGGGAGTGTGGAGTGTAAAATGTAAAGTGTGGAGGGTAGAGTGTAAAGTGTAGGAGTGCAGAGTGTAAAGTGTAGAGTGTAAAGTGTAGAGTGTGGAGTCTAAAGTGTAAAGTGCGGAGTGTAGAGTGTAAAGTGTAGAGTGTGGAGTGCGGAGCTTCCCCCATAGACACGGCGACGCCACAGGAAAACCAGAGACTCGAGACGAGACACGTGGGCGCAAAAAAACGAGCATTTCGAGCGAGACTTCCTCCAATTTTGATATTTTCGATGCATTATCAAACAGGTTGGAATGTCACAAAGTGCCACGCTTGCCACGCAAAACGACATGACAACCTGCTTGGACACATTCGAATAGGAGATGTTTTCCAGCTTCCCCAATAGACACGGCGACGCCACAGGAAAACCAGCGACTCGAGACAAGACACGTGGATGTAGAAAAACCAGCATTTCGTACGAGACTTCCGGCAATTTTCACAGTTGGCAACATGACAAAAGGACAGGTTTTGCAGCTTCCCCCATAGACACGGCGAAGCCACGGGAAAACCAGAGACTCGAGACGAGACACGTGGGTGCAAAAAAACGAGCATTTCCAGCGAGACATCCTCCAATTTTCACACTTTGTAGCTTCAAAATCGACCTTTTCCTACGAGTTTTCCTAGGAACCTCTAAATTTTGCTACCTCAAAATCGATGTTTCGTGCGAGGCTTCCGTCAATTTTCAGCACATGTCAAAATGCCACGCCTGCCACAGAATTTGCACCTTGTCGCCACTTGACGCAGCCCTGCCAATGCGATTTGCAAAAAACACGCAACGCGACAAGTCTAAAGTGCTGCGCCTGCCACGCAAAATGACGATGGACACGTCCAAAGCGCTGCGCCTGCCACGAAAACTGCCACGCATCTTCTGAAAACGTCGCAAAAGTATTGCGCCTGCCACACAAAACGACTTTCGACACATTACAAAACACGTCTGAATGGCACGAAGTGCCACGCCTGCCACGCGAAACGAAGCAACGAGATGTTTGAAATCTACAAAAACGACCACTTCTGCAGAACTTACCATAGGCACGGCCATATATGGGGATCGCGCGGACGGTTGCGAACGGTTGCGACCGTGAACGCAACGTCGAGCGAACACACCCTCAACCCCCAGACCCCCAGAGTGAAACGGGAACCCTTGCTACGCATTCGGGAAAAAAATACATTTTTGTGTGACACAAATAACAAAAAAGGCTGGATCTACAAGCATTTTTTTAATGAATTTTTGCAGACCAAACTCCCAACTTTTCAGACTCGAAATCCTCCGAAATCCTCCGAAGCCACTCATGCGACTTGGCGCATCCCGTCGCCATCTCCAGCGGCGCCCTCCGGACCGAGGCGCCGGGCCCCTGGCGATTGCGGCTCAGGAAGGCCACCGGGAGGTGGTCGAGGCGCTGCTGGCCGCGGGCGCCTCCGTCGAGGCGAAGGATAGAGACGGCCGCGGCCCTCAGAGACGGGACGGATGCGACACGACATTGAGTTTGCTGCCCGTTTTGGGAACTTCGTTCCAGGAATCTTCAGTGTACTTTACGTGATTGCATGTTGAGAAGTCAACTACCAGTAGACAGCAGTTGCAAGTTTGTGTTGCGGGTATGTCACACAGTGGTTCGTGTGGTTGAGTCAAGTTTAGGAGACATTTTGCGGGTCTAGTATAGTTAATTATGGCAGATGGATGCAAATGGATTCTAATGATTTCTTGCTTAGATTGTAGTGTGTTATTGTGAATCTTTGATCTGGTTTGCAGTGTACGGCACGGCAGAGGTGTGACTTCCCAATCAGTTGATCCTGATTTCGATGGGCAATGATATACATGTCTCAATTAGAAATGGTGGACCAAACATGACCAAACTCCCAATTTTTTAGACCCGAAATCCTCCGAAATCCTCTGAACCAACTCATGTGACTTCAAGTCACCATCTCCAGCGGCGCCCTCCGGACCGAGGCGCCGGGCCCCTGGCGATTGCGGCTCAGGAAGGCCACCTGGAGGTGGTCGAGGCGCTGCTGGCCGCGGGCGCCTCCGTCGAGGCGAAGGATAGAGACGGCCGCGGCCCTCAGAGACGGGACGGACGCGACAGGACGGACGTGGTGGGAAGGCGGTGCCACGGATTTCAGGTTGAAATTCGACCTTAGCTGGAGATGAACCTCCAGCAGGTGAGAGCCACAGGGTGGACAATTTGAAGGAAATCAGGCACATGAAGTCATGAAGTTGTCCCTGCTGGGATGCACAGCTTCGGAGAGGTGATCTTGCACATGTGCAACCTTGATCAACCCTTTATGGGTGTAAAAGAGCATGCTATTTAAGGTTTTATGATGTTTTATGAGGCATACAATCGGTTCGGTTTCGCTTTTCGGATTTCCGCTTTGGAAGGTCTGATCAGGACGTAGTCCTAGTCTTGGTGATCTTCACAAACACCAGCAACGATAGTGGCTGCCATTCAGCCAGTTCGCTATACAATTTTGGAAAAGATGAAACTCACGGACTTCACTCCGCAGATTCGAGCCTCTTCCACTCAAGTGTGGGGGTGGGCGGTGGAGAGCCACGGGGTGGAGCCCTCCAGCCGTTGACGTCTCCGAGCCCTTCGGCGCCTGAGGTCACACACCGCTGCACTGGGCGGCTTACAACGGCCACGCCGCCATGGTGGAGCGGCTCCTCGCCGCTGTGGAGCAGCTGGTCGCCGCGGGCGCCGCCGTGGATGCTGCGGACAACGAAGGCCAGGGGCCCCGGAAACGGCCGGTGGGGACGACAGGGAATGGAGTGGAGGGATGATCTGATGCAGAGTGAGTGAAAGAACAACCTCGGTGGAAAGTTGTTTGGTGATTTTGAATGCGTCATGTGCACAGAGCTGTGGCAGATAGGTGGTAATTAGGTGGGATTTGGATTTTGGGAATCTTCTCAAATGCCATGGAGAGATATTTGGCAAGTGACAATACACGAGGTGACAAAGCGACAGAACACAGTGGCATCCACTGGCATCTTTGGGGTGCCCCATCACTGCAGGGATATAACATGATACAACACGAATTGCCCACACGCAATGTCGACCTTTGACAACACGTCTCTGCATGACGATGGTAAGACATCAATGTGAAAACACCATGAGACATCATAAAACATCTCGAGAGAGAAGAACTCTTGCACATTTGCTACTCGTATAGGCCTACTGTATGGGTGTGAAAGAGCGCTTGAAAGTGCTTGAGATATGTCGAAATAAGTTAGGCGTAAGAGAAAACGGGTTTCCCTGTTTCGGATTTTTCGGATTTTCTGTTGTGGACGGTTCCATCAGTTCGCAGTCTTGGTGATCTTCACAAACAAAAGCAACAGATAGTGGCTGCCATTGAGCCAGCTCACTATACAATTTTGATCAATATTGAAAAGATGAAACTCACGGACTTCACTCCGCAGATTCGAGCCTCTTCCACTCAAGTGTGGGGGTGGGCGGTGGAGAGCAACGGGGTGGAGCCCTCCAGCCGTTGACGTCTCCGAGCCATTCGGCGCCTGAGGTCGGACACCGCTGCACCGGGCGGCTTTCAACGGCCACACCGCCGTGGTGGAGCAGCTCCTTGCCGCGGGCGCCGCCGTGGATGCTGTGGACAAAGGAGGCCAGGGTCCCCGGAAACGGCCGGTGGGGACGACAGGGGGTGGAGTGGAGGGATGATGTGATGCAGAGTGAGTGAAAGAACAACTCGGTGACAACTCGGTGACAAGTTGCTTGATGATTTGCAATGCGCCATGTGCACAGAGCTGTGGCAGGATAAAACTAATAGGTGCTATTTGCGGTAGACGGAATGTTTTTTTTTGAATCTTCTCAAGTGCATGCACTGCGCCAGCGAAGCCAGAAACATGAACGTATTCTGAGTTTGTTTCAGGCTGTTGGGATTGCTTTTTTTGGGCGCTGTCGTGGTGGGATGTTTGGCAAGTGTCAACATGGGGTGACGCACCGACACCAGCGACAGAAGACAGTGGCATCCACTGGCATAGTAAGAACTTGTTAAGAATAATGATATGATTTTGGAAACAGCGATTAGGATACCAACGATAAGGTTATATATATAGTGGGTGAAAGTGGGTGATATGATATGTAGGAAATATGCTAGTACGTCCTCCAGACATCAACGTAAAACATCCGTAAAACAACTTGAAAAGCAATGACACTAAATGAATCTGAATCTAAATGATACTACTGGTATCTGGATTTTGGGGCCAAACTCAGCCCCACATCCGTCTACACCGGGCCCTCGCACTTCCAGCTGCGTATCGCAAGGCAAGACGCCGTACGACTACGCCAAGGAGATGGGCCGCCAGAAGGTGATGGGTGTCCTGGACCCGGTCCCTTGGCGCTGGGATGAACATCCCTTGGTGGACCAGGGCTTCGGCACACGTGGGCTATAGGAACCTATGAAGAAACGACGGTGGTTCTTATTGGGTCGTTGCAATCCTGATGTTGTGAAGCTGTCACGCGTTCGAATTGACTCCGATGCGTTGCCATTCTTTTTGTGAGGTATTTGTGGCCCTTCTCAGTGGCCGGAGCTGCAAATGTGCCTCGGCTGCTCCAAAATTTGCAGTGGGTAAATGGAGGACAGGTACTTTAGTGCCATAATATGTCGCAATCTTTTGCCAGTCAATGTGTAGAATTTGAAGAGAACCAGGCAATTGAAGTGCTCAAAAGATGATGCATGAGGTGAATGACTTGTTCACTTGACACGACCTGCAGATATGAAAGGCTGATTGGAGCAAAGGAACAGTACGGTTTGTTGGGTGCCACACATCAACATTTCTGGTATTTTCCGTCAAACCTGAGCTGTTGATAAGTGGCTGTTATGTGCAACCTGGGAATGCAAGCAACTATGACACTCAGGTAGTTCTTATCACGAGACGGTGCAGGAATTGAAGGATGAAGCAGAGCAGCTTGGCTTTCTCTGAGGCCATATCAAACCATCTTGGTCGAAATGCTTGTGTTCTGTTGGTCTGACAACGTTTGAGGTTCTTGCATTTTGATCTAATGCGTTTGTGAGATGGACATGCTAATTAATATTCCATGAGCCGACGGATGGCGTTTTTTTTTAAATTTTGTACTCGCATGGCCATACTTTCACTGTGCTGAGTCTGTTTCATTTCCCTCTCCATGAGTCTGAAGAAATTGACATCCCTCCTCCACTTTACTTGAGAGGGCAAATCAGGCAGCCTCTGTTGTCCACTGCCTTTGTTGCAATAAGACTTCCTGGATTCCTCAATGTACCATGTTGGCCGAGAATGTACGGACATGCTCAACATGCAAACCCATGCCAAAATATATGCGACAACATGTTTTTGCGTTTCGCAGCAAGTCCAAAGATGTTTGTGCCGTAATTCATCTGATTGTGCAAATTGAACATGTCATCCTGGTATTCAGAGGCATGGCGTTGCCTGGCCACTGCTACACAAGACCCGTGATGCTTTAATAAACTAAGTTCCCTGCAATCCGAAATTGGCTTATGAAGGGTGAATGAGCCATTGGCGTTTATCATTATTTTTCATTACATCTGGCACTCCTGTTTGTTGCATGGGAAAGATGGGATATGTGGAGGTGATAGTCAGATCTCAGCGAGCTCACGGGCTGTCAAGAAGCGACCATGGGATGTGTCAGTTGGCCCTGCCAGATACCACGTGCGCCACCGTGCCACGCGTCGCGCTTCCGAGGAAGAAACTCGGAATCACCATCCAGCGTCTCATTGGGGTGAACATGGAACCATTGCTGCTTGGCACAGAACTTGATGCTGAATAGAGGAACGACGTTTAGATGTATTTAGATTCTATACGAATCTGGAGTTTGAGCCTTCTGGGATGCTCACTGGGTCAGTGACAAGACTCTTCAGTGACAATGGGGACCTCCGTGTTTCGTGGTGGTTTGATGTTAGAATCTTTCACCCCATGCAGCTGGGGACATTCAATGTGATTAGGTGACCAAGGTCGTTGAGAAGGGAAATCTTTGAGCACCAAAGAAATTACGTGCCAGTGGGTTTTGAAGGCTCAGCCGGCATAGTAAATGCCGCAACTGCAACCCGGATTTCCCTGATGGCAAAAGACAAATACAGTATATATATTATAGTATATTATATAATGTATATTATACAATGCGATGGGAAAGCTGTTTGATAGTCCTTCTAACGAGACAGAAAGTGCAGCTGTTGCTGTTTGTTCGAGAGAGTCAGTGACAGAGTGATGCGGAACATTGCAGAACAAACAGCAGAAGCGGCCACAAATGCAAAGGTCTGCCTTTTGGGAAATATTGGGAATGAAAGCGCTTGTCACATCTTATCACATCTTATCACATCTTATCACATCTTATCACATCTTATCATCCAACGTGCAAGCTTAGCATGGATATTGCGATTAAGCGCAAGTTTTACGAGGTCAATTCAAATCCTGCTTTTCCGTGACTTTGTAGGTTAATTCTTGGTAGCATCCAGTTTTACATGTGCTTAATTGACCATGTCCCTACCCACGGTTGGTTCAAAGTGATTCACGGGTCGTTCACGGATCAGTCACGGTCTGTTTGTGCTCGGCAGCGAGCACGGCATTCCAGAGAAAGTGGTCCAGATCTGATAATACTATATAATCTTGGATGACTTGGTTTGATCGAAAAACTCCTCTTGGTTAGAGAAGATATCGCACAGTGAAGGATGATCATATGCAAGAAGAACCAGTTGATTAAGATAAGTCGAACAAGTTTGACAAGGTCATTGATCTACAGGGATCCTAGCCATATAATATATATTCTATACCAGGCATCACTGCACTCTTTAGATGCATTGGTCATGCTGGCTTTAAGCGAACTTACTCTCATCCTCACAACGCGGTAAAAAGACTTGTAATTGTAGGAGTCAACTCCTGAAGCTCTGGAGCGAGTGCATCAGACCTAAATTTGTCAGGTTCGCTGTCCCAAACAATTTGGAGCTTGACCCAGCCATCAGGAACGAAGCAAAGACTCTGGAAGAAGCCGGTGTTTTGCCTGGACATACGTTGACCGCAGTCATCGCGCCCCGGCCAAAAGTGATGTGAATCACCCACTGCCATGGGAAGATTCTGATTGGAACTGCATTTTACAAGAAAGCGCTGCAAAACCGGCAACAAACTGTCGATTCAATTCAGCCTAAAGTGATGAGCCTCCCAAGCCGGATCAGTGCTTAGATCTGCTGTTATCGCATCCCTTATGGTGATCGAGACGTTTGTGAATTAGCTGCGAGCACCTATTTTTGATCATGTTTTTCCCTGCAACATTTTGCTTCGAAGATTTGTGGAGAAACTGCCGTCGACTTCTTCTTTCTTTCTAGGCGCCAGCAGCCGGGCAGGGTGATGTCTCAGAGGCGGGCCGTATCTTGAGATGTGGGACACAACATTCTGCAGGGAGGCTCTGGAAATCCTGTGAAATGACGGCCGGGTGCGGCAGAACTTCAATGGCAGCCACTTTGAAAGTTGCAAGATTTGCCAATGTCCAGTCTTTGGATGCAGCTCCATATAGCTAGGTGATGGCGGAGTTCTCATGTGCGTATTTCTGTGCGTAAAGGATTGCAAATGGTGTACGGTTGCGTTGCTTGGGTCTGCGTTGCTGGGATCAACTCCAAAGGTTCATGAGATAACATCCGAAGACGGAACCCAGACATTTGAGATGCCCCTTCAACAAGCACAGCATCTCTATACACACCTGATTTTCATGATGCGCAGTGATTTCTGTTGAACTTCTGTAGAACATGGCTGGATCCCACAGGAGAAGCAGTTGCCAGAGGATGAAGGCCGCAAAGATGATGGCGCTTGTGATTGATCAGGGTAATCAATGCTATAAAATGCTATCAATTAGTGGTAGTTAGTTCTTATAGTTGGGTGGATAAGAGTGGATGTCTGCTAAGAGACAAGGTCAGTAGGGTATTCAATGCAGCACTTACAAACACACATCAGTCAAGCTGTCAACCGTCAACAGGTATTCCAATTAGTTGGATCCAAAGTCACACATCATCTCCAGGGTTTGATTTTTAAGAGTTTGGGACCGGAATTGACTGAGCCACGATGAAATCCAGGGGCTGCTCTAGCAGTCACGGTCCGTCTGTATGATGCTGCGAGGCGATCTGCAAAATCCCAACGACTTCATCGAGTTCCTCATCTCCGCGAACATTCGGCTGGTCCGCGCTGAGTTTTTGATCGAGCTGGATGAGACTGGGACCCCCATGCCTCGCCGACAAGAGGCAGAGTTCATGCACGTGCAGAGTGGGGCAACTGCACTGGTGGAGCTTGGTGAGTACAAAGAGTTGCACGTGAATCAAACATCAGGCTGGCTCAGTCCCTGCAAACATCCAGAGGTACAGAAACACCAGGGATGATTTCAAATGACTTTACGGTCTCAAGATGGCAAACATAATTGTATATTATTGTAGATCGATGGATGTTGTGCTAGATTTCTGGTCCGCATATGATTGAATTTTATTGTAATCATCAGATTTATACTTGTCTGGCACTACATGGTGTCTGCCCTGTGAGGACACGTCACAATCCGCACGGCTGAGGGTCCCTCCATAGTGCGATTCCGGTCAATCTCCCACATGTGGGAGGCAATGGAGCATCCGGATCCCTGGGGATTCCAGGTCCGCAGCATTGTGGAGAGGTACCGAGAATTACCCAAGGATTCGGTGACTTGGGTCTTCGTGGACTTCCTGTCGCTGTATCAGTACAAGAGATCTGCTGAAGAAGATGAGTTCTTCAGGAAGGGGCTGAAGCGAATGCACTGGCTGTACAGTCATGAGATTGTGCAGGTAGACATCCTCACTGAACTCACACCTGAGGACAAGAAGTTCGAGGGCGAGATTTTGGTGTACAACGCGACGGAAGACCAGGTGAAAGTGACACCAATCTGCGAGCTGAGGCTGAACACCCCCTATGAGCTTCGAGGTTGGTGCCAGAGTGAATCTGAGTGGTCCCGCCTGCGTATGGATGTGCTTGGAGGTTGTATTCCCACTCCTCCAGAAATATTCAGGAAGAGGCTGCAACGGATGCGGTTCACGCATCGAAATGATGCCGAGCAGGTGCTTGCATTGCAAGAAAAGGTGTTCAGAGACAAAGTCTCCAGGACAACACACTTGCAGCTCCAACAACTCTCTTTGGATGACCTGGAATGTCTACGTGACGCCTTGCCACACTACAGTAAGTTGGAGTACTTGGTGGTAAATGGCAATGCCCTGAAGGGGCAAGATGCCGTGGCGATGGTGACCTCAGGTGCGGCGGACATCCAAATGGAGTCGTGTTCTCTACAAGATGAAGATGCAGATGCCATGGCAGAGGCACTCATGAGCTCAGCTGCTGATCGATTGGAACATCTGAGTCTGACTGGGAACCGTTTTTTGGCGATATGTTTGGCATTGTTTTACATTGTTTTGAGGACCTTTGGAATGACGGCATGTTTTTTTCACCCCCAATCTCGGAAAGATGAACGAAGATGTTGGAGTCTGTGAGATGAGAAGATGTTGAAATGGACACAACTCGAAGTTTTAGCAGCCAGGCTTCAGTGACATCGGGACAGCTGCCCTTCGCAAAGTGATGGAGCAGCGACCGCAGCTGAAGATCCGATTGTAGATTTAGAATGATTCAGATAGATTTAGATGGTCAGTCGGACGGGCTGCTTGCAAGTTGCGACACCACAAGTCTATGAAACCATGTGGGGATTTCCATAAATGGGGATACTGCAACTGATCCATGTCAGGTTCGCCACTACGACTTCATGTTCGACCACTGGCCCTTGTCTGCAATGCTTGGCTCAGGAGGGGCCCCTTTTCTTTGATAGATTAGACCCAGCCTCGACCTATGGGCTGCTGACTTTGGACTCTGCGTCCAACCGGTGAAAACAGAGCTGAGCGCTCTTCTACATTTGGTGTTTGAGTTGAGCCCGATATGTCACCACTGTGTGCCTGCTGCATTGGCAGCGGAGCACCTACGCTCCGGGACCTTAGCTACCTGCTGCGACCCGACCTAGCCTTTGTGATCTTGGCCGGTGTCTTGCAGCGGTGAACCCTTTTTGCCGAACGGCAACCCTGGATTCTTTTTGTACGAGCTTTCATTTTCATTTTAGCACTTTTTCCTTGAGTTTGACTTCGTGAAGGCGAAGTGGAGACTGACTTGATCCTGACGATCAACCCTTTTTGCCTCAAGCCTGCATTTTGCAGCAATGGCGACACGCAGTGATGAGAGTGTTCCTTCATGGGATGGACAGGCGAAAAATTGGCGTAGATACACAAAAGAGGTTGCATGGTTTGTTGCATCGACCCCCACCAAAAAACGTAGATATGTGGCCTCCAAATTGATTTCAAGACTATCTGGTCCTGCTCGTCTTCTAGCTATGTCATGGTCAAGAACAGAATTTGATTCTCCGGACGGTACCCTGAATCTTTTGAAGAAGTTAGCTGGTTCTCCACTGGTTCGAAAGACATTACCAAATACAGCTGCAATTCTTCAACAATACCTGGGATTTAGGCGACAGCCTGGTGAGTCAATGGCAAATTTCTTGGTACGTGAAACTTTGGGATATGAAGAGTTTTCTGAAGCCCTCATTCGGCTATGGGAAGAACAGACCGGTATTGACCCTGCTGAAAGAAATTTTGGTTTGCCACCTATTTCTGAATGGGATTGGTGGGATGATGACTATGAGTATGGCTATATGGGGGGCATGGATGTCACTACTGGTGATGCGGAACATCAGCATGATCCTGCGGCTACTGCGGCAGCTGCAGCCTCTCCTGAGCAAGGCGCTGAACCTCCTGTAAGTGCGGCTCCAGGCTCCTCACCGAGTCATCGAGTTGGTGCGGCCTCTGAGCATTCTGCGCCAGGACCTGAAAGTGATCCGGGAAAGCCCAAAATACCCCAAGATGTTTCAGAAGTTTCTTTGGCAGACTCATTTATCATGGGTGTCCTACGTGGTTGGCGTTTGTTGAAGGCTGCAAGCCTCACCCCAGAAGAAACTAGAGACATCTTGCCCACTACTCAAAACAAATTGGACTTCGAAGCCATCAGCCAAGCCTTGTCTGCACTTTGGGACGAACAGTTGCTTGGCCACCGATATTCACAACATGCTGGACGTCATGGAAGTTCTAACAATGCTCTATGGCATGAATGGCATGATGATGGATGGGATGATGGCTATGAGATTAACTATGATGAAATGTGGACCTGGGGAAACGATGATGGTTGGTGGAATGATGGTCAATATCATGATGAATGGCATGAACATGAATGGCCCGACGAAACCTCCTCTGCCAAGGAAGTTCAGACTACCTTGTCACCCGACGAGGAAGAGCGACTTCAAGATGCTCTTCAAGCTGAACAGGTTGCTGAGCAATTAGCTGCCGAAGCAAGGCGCACTTGGCAAGAGGCCCAGAAAACAACCCAACAACTGAAACGTGATCGAGGTTTTGGACATGTCAACACTGTCAACAATGGTCGTTGTTTCAATTGTGGTGGTAACCATTTGGTTAGGGATTGTCCTGATAGACGTCATGGGAACTACCCCAAGGGCAAGTTTTCTGGGAAGGGCAAGGGCATGATGTTTTGGAGCTCGAAGGGCAAGAGTCCTTACCATTCGAAAGATGGCAATGGCAAGGGCTTTAGCAAGAACCCCGTGAATGCCTACGCACTCTATGGCATGGAACTGGCCTCAACGACGAAGGCATCAACCAGCACTGGCTCTAGCTCTTTGGCTTCCCAAGCTCATGGCATGCTGGACTGCGGAGCAACCGCCTCTGCAGCACCTGAAGTTTCTGCCCAGGAGCTGGTGATAGCTGTTTTGTCTCACGATCGACAGGCGACTGTGAACATCTTCTCAGCACAGCGGCCATACTTTCGCTTCGGCAATGGGAAGTGGGGCAGAGCTAGGTACAAACTGGAAATTTGTTCGGATGTTTCTGGTCAAAAGAAAACGTTTTCATTGTATGCACTTCCAAATCCAATCGAGTTTTACCAGCCCAACTTTGACAAGTCACAGCTCGTTCCTATTTTGATTGGCATGGATCATCTTGGTGCACATGGTTGTCAAATGTTGGTTGATTTTGGATCTGGTTTAGCGATGGATGGCGTTGATGATAATCCTGAAGTATATCAACTACCAGTCAATCCGAAGAAACACTATATGTACGATATTTTATACTATCTCACACGTGGTCAAACCAGAGCAGAAGGGCATGCACAAGTGAATGTTGTTACTGGAGCTGATCCCCTTTTTGCACAACCTGTTTTGCAGTTTCGTCCTCTTGACTTTTATACCACTCAGCAGTCATGTTCCTCTTCCTCTTCTACATCCTCTCCTCTTAAACATGATCGTGAAGAGCTGTTGCGAAAACTTTTTCGATGTGGCCACAACATGGCTCAGATGGGCAACTCTGCCCATGCTGGAAAAGATCACCGCGGAGGAGAAGCTGAACAACAAAGTTCAGTACCTGCTGGAGAAGCCCAACGTCGAGAACTTCTTGAAGGTTCCAAAGTCCAAGGCAGCCTCAAAGAATGTGGAGAAGAAGATGGTTGTCACCATGGGCTACATGGCCCAGAGCTCACCGATGACAAGTCCTTCCGACAGCAGCTGGGATCCGATTCTGGATTCACCAGATCGTCGCAACTTGGAGGACTTCCTGACCGAACAGGAAAGGATCGACCTGCGCAACCTGGTGCTTGCAAGAAAGGGGATGACACCACCCGACGAAGTCATCCTCACCGAGGAAAGCCAATGACTTCCTCGAGCCTACCATTGACCACTACGATGGGCTCCAAGGTCATGAAGATGGTGACGATGATGACAGCAACCATGAGTCACCTCGCCTTGAAGATCGCCATGGATGGACGTGAATGTTTATGGGAGATTGCATGTGCTGACAACAGTTGGCTGACTCAAGCGGCTCTCAACCATGGTCTACCTGCCAGAAGGATCAACTATAAGCAAGGTTTTGACCTCTACAAGAAGTCTGCATGGATGGAGATGGAACGCCTGCGAAAGATCAAGCGTCCCAAGAAACTTTGGCTCTCACTACCGTGCACTCATTGGTGTCAATGGACCAATGTCAACTACAACACTGATGAGCGCAAGGCGGTCCTCGAAGATCTTCGTCGACGAGACCGTCGAATGATGCACTATGCCAAGGACTTCATCCTCAATGCTGTTGATGACGACCCAGACATTGATGTGTACTGGGAGTGGACTTTTCCATGTTCTGGATGGTCTCAGCCTCCTATGGTCTCGCTGCAGCATGGACTTTTGCAACGTGGCCAATCATGGGAGCGCTGCAGAATCGATGGATGCAACTATGGGATGCGAAACTCTGATGATTCAGCGTTTATCCACAAGCGCTGGGAGATTCGCACCAATGATGAGCTCTTCCATCGCAACTTCAAGTGCAAGGTTTGCCCTCGAAATCATCAACATGCTTTCATACAGGGGATTGAAACAGCTCGCTCTGCATACTATCCAGTGCGGATGGTGGAAGCAATTGTGCGGCATTGGAAGAATCAACTTGCTCCTCAACGTCATGTACAAGCTTTGACTTCTCCTGACGCTGTGGTGCACTCCAAGCATGCAGAGTGTGATGTGAAGTGGACTCAACGTCTTCAAGCTCTACCTGTTGAAGAAGTTCTTCCTCCTGTACCTGATGATGGTGATTTGTCTGACGGCTATGAACCTTCTATACTTGAAGCTCCTCAACATGGTGATGATATCAGTGAACAAGAACGAAAAGAATGGCATGTCAAACTGCAGCACTACCACCGTGCAGCAGGACATCCATCAAATCGAAACTTGATCCACCTGTTCCGAGATGCTGGACTTCCCAAATGGAAGATTGAAATGGCTCGCGATTTTCGATGTGATGCTTGTGATCGACTTCTACAAGGCAGCAAAAGCTCAGGTGAAGTACCAAGGGCGTCAACACACCCTTTGTGCAAGGCATGGGAAATCGTTGGAGCTGATTCCAGCGAATGGCATGTTCCCGACCAGAAGATCAAGATCAAATTCATTTTGCTCATTGACTTTGCCACCAAACTACGTGCGGTGCATGTGGTGAAATCGTATGGACTTTCGCAAATGTTGTCCGAAAGTTCTGAAGATGTCATCAAGGCGATTGCTGAAAAGTGGCTGGCCGATAAGCCGAAACCCCGACTTATTGTGCCTGACAACTCCTCTGTCTTCACGGCCACCGACGTGAACGAGTTCCTCACCAATGTGGGCATCCAACTTAGCCTGCCGGCTGAGAAGGAATCATGGGCTCATGGACTTGTTGAATCAGCAATCAAAGATGTGAAGATGACGGCTTCTGCAATTCAGCTTGGACAACCAACTCTTCCTCCTGGAGTTTCTCTTCAACTTGCGTGTGCGGCTCTCAACAGTACTGAGTACACCAAGGGCTATTCTTCGTTTCAGTGGTGCTATGGCAAGGACTACACCATAACCGATGAAGAGATCAGAACCTTTGCCAGCTTGCCGGACACCACCAAGCACTTTGAGTATGAGGCCCTGGTTCGAGCTCGACAAGGTGCTGAAGAAGTTGCACGTCGTACCCGAGCTCTACGTGTGATGTCAAAGCTCAAGAACTCCAGCGTGAAGCAGCCTTTGCGCACCTTCGAACCTATGGACTTAGTCATGGTTTGGCGCAAACAATGGCCTGCACACCTACTTGCTCCTGGCCGACGTGGTGGTTTTCAACGAAGTATCAAGCCTCACTGGATTGGCCCAGGACGTGTGATTTTCCATGAAGTACTTCATCATCAAGAAGAAGGCGATGAGAGAAGACACATCTTATGGGTGTTGGTGGGATCGCAGCTGTTGCGATGCAGTGCTCATTCGGTGAGACCCGTCACCGACACCGAGCGTGTCACTTTTGAAGTGTGTGACAAACAAGACGTCACAAAATGGAAATCCTTAGCTGATGTCCTACCTCAGCGCGAATACCTTGACATCACTGATCAGGTTCCTGGTGAAGATGAATGTGAGCATCCAGACCTACCTGATCGACCTGATGAATCAACGGCTGTGCATGCAGCTGTTGCCAAGAAGGCCAAGAAGGTTTTCCAGAAAGGCGTCACTTTTTCTGATCCTGCACTTCAACCACGTTCCAAGATCGTTGGCAAGAAATCCTTGACTCCAGATGACTGGAAGCCCAAAGCAGGTGATGATGATGTTGAACTACTACCTGAACCTGGCAGTGCTTCTCAACCTGCAGCACTGGAACCTGCGGCTTCTGACTCTCCTGACCTTGAAGAGTTGTTGGAGCGCGATGTCAACGACTATGATGTTTCTCCTCGACCTCTACCAGACCCTAAGAAGCAAAAGATCAACGATGACAAAGACATGAGAACCCTGCTGAGGGAACAACACTCCTCTCAGTATGACCTCAAATGGGTGGAGGAACTACATCAGCCAGATGATGGACTTTTGGACTTTTACCATCTGGTTGTTGACAATGACTTGGATTGCCTCTCCATGCAGTTTGACTTGGACTTTGTGTCAAACCGGCAGTTCAAGAATTTCCTCAGAAGCCCCACTGCGTATCTTGTCAAAAAGATGCGTGACTCTGAAGTGGTTCTCAGCAAATTGTCTCCTCAACATCGTGAACTTTTTGCACGTGCCAAGGGGAAAGAAATTGACAGCTTCCTCAAGAATGAAGCAGTGAAAGCCTGCCACCGAAATGATGAAGTTCGAGAAGCCATGGGCAGTGGACGCATTGTCCGCGCTCGTTGGGTGTTAACCTGGAAACTTGTGCCTCCTGAAGATCAAGATGAAGCGCGACAAGATGCTTCAACGAATCCTTCCTCAACACATACTTCAGATGGTCTCAAGAAGGCGAAAGCACGAATTGTGCTACTAGGTTTTGAACACCCAGAGATTGGCAATGTGGACTACAAAACGTCCTCACCTGTTCAATCTATGTTGGCTCGCAACTTGCTCTACCAGGCCACTTGTCAACACTCGTGGCAACTTGAAGGTTTGGATTTAGCAACTGCTTTTCTCCAGACGGCTCCTACGTCCGCTGATGCCAACTTGTGGACTTATGGTGTAGCTGAACTTCGCACAGCACTTGGGTTGGACAGCAATGGCATCATGAAAGTCATGCGTAACATCTACGGTAGCACTACTGCTCCTCGTGGACTATGGCTCGACCTGCACAAGACCCTCACTGGACTTGGCGGATATCCTGCCTTGGGTGAAAGATGTCTTTGGGTTTGGTATGATGAAGACCCTGAGACCAAGCAACCCTTCACCATTGGCATGATGGGCGGCCATGTGGATGACTTTCATCGAACTGGTGACTCAAACAATGCAAAGTGGAACGAAGTTTGCAGAAAAATAGATGCAGCGTACCGATGGGGAACAGCCAAACACTCTGCATATCGTCATGCTGGCACTGATGTTCAGGTGAAACGTGACAACGATGGCGACCTTGTCATCACCGTCAACCAGCAGTACTATGTGGACTCCCTGCCGGACCTTGATATTTATGCAGATAGATTACGACAAGAAGATGCACGAATGACCTCTCATGAGATTGCAGCTTGCCGTGGTGCTCTTGGCGCACTACAATGGCTAGCAATACAAACTCAGCCACAACTTTGTGCTCGTTGTAATCTCCTCCTCACTGAAGTCATTAAGTTTGGGAAGATGAGTTATGCCATGGAAATTCAACGTATGATTGGCGAAATTCGCCGTGAATCCTATGAGCTCAAGTTCTTCAAGCACAAAACTGCGAAGACCTGGCGCGATGTTTGCTTCATAACAATGGCTGACCAAGCACATGCGAATCGAGACAAAGGTGATTCAACTGGTGGGATCATCACTTTGATGAGTGGTCCTGAAGCTCTTAAAGGAGAAGTTTGTCCTATGTCTCTTTTGGCTTGGCGAACCTGGAAGCTTCGTCGCAAAGCTCTTGGATCAAATGACGCAGAAGTTCAAGCAGTACTTGAAGGTGAAGATTGGAATTTCCGCGCCCGACTTCTTTGGTGCGAAATTCATGGTGCTGGACTTTCTCGTCCTCGCGATGCCAACAAAGTGGAATTCTCAGAAGAGATGGTGAAACAAGTAGAAGGACTTCTTTGCACTGACAGCAAAGGTGGTTTCGATGCAGTGCTCTACAATGAGAGTCCTCTCCTTGGCCTGAGCAACACTCGCTCTGCTCTCCAAGCTCTTCAACTTCGAGAATATCTTCAGCGTGCTGGCTCCAAAGCTACGCTGGGTAGCCAGTGACTATGACTTGGGCGATAGTCTGACAAAGAAGCGTCCAGACTGTCGTGTGGGCCTCCAGAAGTTCCTCAAAACATGGCTGTGGGCTGTGAAATATGATCCACAGTTCATTGCCTCAAAGAAGAACAAAAAGGAAGGAAAGACAGCGATCAACCAGATCGACGATTACCTGAGTGGCAAACCTGATCTTTCTTTCTATGCTGGTGCAACTGATCCATGTCAGGTTCGCCACTACGACTTCATGTTCGACCACTGGCCCTTGTCTGCAATGCTTGGCTCAGGAGGGGCCCCTTTTCTTTGATAGATTAGACCCAGCCTCGACCTATGGGCTGCTGACTTTGGACTCTGCGTCCAACCGGTGAAAACAGAGCTGAGCGCTCTTCTACATTTGGTGTTTGAGTTGAGCCCGATACGTCACCACTGTGTGCCTGCTGCAGATACCCCAAAATGGATGGTTTACAATGGAAAATTCTATTTAAATGGATGATTTAGGGTACCCCCATTTCAGGGAACCACCATGTAGGAAATCGGAGTTGGCCGAAGGATATGCCGCAATGCACTTGCCATGTCTTCGGAGATGAATGAAGCGCAGGAGAATTGGAGCACACCTTTACAGCCAAATCCGGAAACTCCAACGGTTGGCACACCAAAAGAATCCAAAAGAATTACAACTCCTGGTGTAGTGCAATATCCTTTGGCCTGCTAGAGAACGTCGCCAGATCATTTGCACACATGTTTCACGCGCTGAATTGTGTTTGTCGACAAGGCGCATTGAATTTCACATGCTGTTGCCGAAAATGGCATAGCAATTGCAACAATTGGGCGAAAGAAAACAGATTGCGAAGATGTGGCCATGGCCTGACCAGGCATGTCCTGGGATGATTGGGATACGCTTTGAGGCGTTCCCATTTTGAAGGGTTGGAGTCTTCAGTGCGGGAAAAGCCTCCTTCTGTGAAGTGAACTATCTACAGATGGTACCAAATGGGGATGAATGGCAAGGAAAGTTAATGCTGTACATCACATTGACTTGTCATTGCACAGAGTATCATGGTTCTTCCTGCATATGGCCAGCTGGATCAAGATGTCAGGAAACTTTTATGTCTCAGTGGCTTCACTGGTGGCTTTCATCACTTTATTTTGTAGTATCTCACAAAGGTATATGTAGCTAGAGCCAGGCCCTTCCTTTCCCCAATTCGAAGTCAAAATTCCACCAACCGTTATCACTTCTAAGACCCTCTTTAAACGTAAAATCGATCAATTCGGAATTCAAAAACACACATGCATATCCACAATACATGTATCATATTCACATATCTTCACATTTTTAATACGTTTCTATACATATCCCCTACATCTCAGGTTACCCCGCAGGTGTCACACCAACCAAAAGCCAACGTCGCCATGCGGGACCCATCCCTTCATGATGTGGTGACCGCAGCCGCAGCACCCTGGACGGTGCCGAAGAAGGTATCCCCCCAGGGCTGCGGTGGGAGATCGGCCGTTTTTGTGGGGAATGTGTCACCAAATCATGGGGGAAACCATGGGGAAAATGAGGAAAACCAGGCTTTAAGCTTTTGGACTCTGGGGGTCTTCTCAAACTAATGTTTGGATCAACCCAAATACTTGGTAAATGGGTTTTTCTTGAAGTGGCGGACCCCAAGTTATCAGTTGTCATCCCAAATTCTCCATTTTCTGTGGGAAACCAAAGGTTTTGGGGTACTCCAAGGTTACAGTTTAAGGCGCCACATAATTGTATGGGTTAAACAGATATCCCAATCATATGGGCTTAAGCATATAGTGTTGTTAATGGCTATTAGATGTTCAAGGGTCACAGTCCCAGAATTGCTTGAAGAGAACATTTGCAGGCTTTACCACCATATTTGAAAAGAAAAACCCATGGTTCCCACAAAGATTTTCCCTGAATGTTTCCTCGTGATGTCAACGGCGAGTTTGATTTACGATAAAGGGGATGGTCAGAGCGCTCCCATGATTGTACTTCTTTTGGGCTGAAGTATGATCTAAACACAATGATTGTGACTCGTTCCATGTCCAATTTGCTTTTCATTTTATGACATTTGCCTTTGGGCATCAATCAATGAATAGGGCTTTATATACCAATCATGTGTGGATTCCCATGGCATGGATGGATGACCATACCCCATTCATCCCATGTTTATTACTCCCATATCATGATATCGTTGATGGTTAACGCCCAATATCTCCATTATAATCCCTACAATTGTGGATGGCTTTGTCCCATTTATCCCCTGATCATCCCATTGCATACACATCGAACTTGACGATAGCACATTTGCAACCTATCATTTTTGTATTTTTTTTATTTATTTTTTAGAAGATATGTCAAACTATAAATCCTACTATCAGTATCCCCGCCATAATATCATTGTAATCCCATAAACTGATTGGTGATCCAGACTTTTCGCCGGGATGGCCCTCATGAGAGCCCCAAGAAGCAGGTGTGCCAATGGCAACCGTTATTGGTGGGGGCTTTTTATTGGTGGGACCATCGGTCACCATCAATTGGTTCCATCCTCCCTGTCATGTGGACTTTTCTGGCCACCGAGGACGATGAATTACATGAGAACGGTGAAAAGGCGACTGGAAGTGAGAAGAGTTCCACTGTTTGTGGCCCAAGCCCAGGTCGACCAAAGTTTTGCCGAGCTGACGCGGATAGGATTGGCCCGTGCCAAAGGCATGGTGGAATATGCACACGTCAACAAGTTGCATATCTTTTATCTTTCCCATTAGGCTCTGCGAAGAGTGGGCACCTGCGCCGCAAAACAATCCAAGAGGCACTTTTCAAAATGAATTCGTGTTCAAGAACGGCCTAGTGTATGTAGATGATCGGCAGATGAACAATGCCGAAGGCACTGCTGATCAGATTGTGGATTCTGTGACTAGCCCTGGTGGCATCTTTTCAGAAGGCCAACAGATTGCGAAGATGTCGCGGAAATGAAAACTGACAACTGCCGCATTCCGGCTTCCCATGGTGCGCTGTGCTCCTGCTGGATTAAATTTGGATGAATTTGAGGAAGCAACAAGTAACCAGTAGTTCTCCGACCCAAAATGATCACAAGAATGTATCTGAGAAGCGAGTCATCCCAATTCGCCCCCAAAAAGGCAACGGCGCCGTGTTCGGCATGGAAGGTCGGTTGAACTGGAACTGATTATATTTTAAAACTAGCATGCACGCGGGGCTTAAAGTCCGGATGGAACTATAACCTCTGATTCGGAAGCGTTCCCAGATTGTTGCATAGTGTTACTCTTTCGGATGTTTGGTTCAGGCATTGTGTGACAGTAGGTGCCCCTTGCAACATGCAAATTGAATGATAATGAAAGACCGCACATATTTTGAGGTTCATTTGCACATTGTAGCAAAGGTTGGAATTCCTGAAGTTCTCGGCTCAGCTGGCACCTCATCACCAGCAGTTCGTTGATGTTGAGGGTTGAAGAGACACACACACACCAGGACCAACGCAGCTCTGACCATTTGAACATGAATCAATGCTGACAAAATATCAGCATCATCCCACACCTGGTTTGCCAACCAACTTGTTGCCTGCAGGAGCAACACCAGCCTGCTTAGCTTGGAAATTCACGGATTGCCAGACCTCCAGAGTTTGAAAAGGTGATCTCGCAACCAGATCGTTCCCTGAAGTTTTGGCCGCAATTTCAGAGAGTTTCACCACGCTCTTGGAAATTCCCTTGGGGAATTCCCATCAGCGACATGGCCGAAAAAAGCGATGGTCACGATACGTCGGCAGGGCGTCCCAGATCTGAGACGTGGAATTGACTCCACCAGAGCGGTTGGAAGTTGATATGGTGAAAAGCAACAAAGATGTTGGACTCTTGGAGTGTTTCACGGAGTTTCTTGGCATATCATCTCCAAGGGTTTCAACTTTTTCAGATGTCTTTAGCGAATAACCATGGTTTCTACTTTTCACTGGGTGATCCAACTGTTTCTTATCATTCAAGTTGACACTGGGCATAGCTCACATGTTTGCTAATCAGAGGCATATGACAACGGGCAAATGACAAGGGGCAACTCCATGCAAATCATAGCAAACCTACTGTAGCAAATCAGGACAGTTCGCACGCATGTCCTGAAACTTCACACACCCGCCACAGTAGGAGCTTTCATCTTTCCGTAGATGTTCTTCAGACTTTTTGGACCTTTGTGGTGGATTTGAGACACTGGAGTCTTGAGCATTCGGAGCAGTTGTTTTGAGTTGATTTTTTTCTCGATCACAAACTGCACCAGGAACTGGCTCGAAGATCGACCTCACCCGAGGCGATGCGGCTGCACCCCGCAGGGATGGGAGATTCCACCGGGTTTTCCCAACCGAACAAAGACCATGACAGCCATGACTCACGACATATTTTTTTTGTTTGGGGGTTTCCCAAAGATCACTTGGTAAATTTGTTGCCAAGTTGAAGCGACGAAAACGGTTCCAGCAGTGACCAAGTGACGACCATGGCGTCCGCCCATGTGTCCGTAATGCCTCTCAGCCGCAGGATCCTGACGGCCAACACGATCCTCCTGTCAGAAAAGAGGTGGGGAGACCTGTGCAGTCTCGGAGATCTTGAAGATGATGGATTTCTTTGTTGGGTCAAAGTGAGCTCCAAGATAATTCATCTACTGTGGATGTTTGTTGCAATCCGTTGTGCCGAGCATTTTTTTCTGTGTGCATGTGTGACATTGGATAGCACAGGGAGTTTGATTGACATGTCTGCTGTGTTCTTTGGCGCAAGCCTGCAGGGAGGATTGTGATGCGTGCTGTTCTTGAAGCTTCCCGTAGGATATCCGCTGATTTGAACATATTTGAATTGAAACCCAAACTCTCCAGAATGAAGCTGTCACCGTGTTTGACAGCAAACGTTCCACATTGAGCCATTTGCCACGTAGTTCAAACAACTTAAAGTAGACTGGACAGATGATGTCAAGTAGAATGTGTTGATAATCACCTCTAAAAGAAATCATAAGAAAACATATTTTCTACGCGCAGAATTGGATAAGAAATAAACACATTTTTAGAGCACCTCAAATCTAGAAGTGATACATACGATATGCTCTGCTTGTGCAACTTCCAGACGTGTCGTTTGAAGTAGAGGAATCTCTTGAACTTATCTTTTACACACAGCCAATGCCAGGCAGACCACACAGATGTCAGAGCAATCTTCCGGCAGTGGGATCCCACCGGATTCTCAACTGCACTGGTTCCCAGTCACCACAGCATGGCAGGCCTTTTCTGTAGCCGTGGGCGGCTCCTGCTGTTCAACTGCCGGGAGTCGTTCTGAGGACGGGGAATGATCCGGAAGGACGAGCTGCTGTCAACCTTCTCTGGCCTTGGCCTGCACATGGGCGAGCGAGAGTTGCCTGGAGCACATTTGGTCTGAAAATTGGATTCCCGCAATTTCAGGGGATTAGAACGATTGATGATCTCGTTTGAATTTGACAACAAAGCAATAAGTTGGGGTATCCAACCTATTTTTGGACAGCACCCCATTCTATTTCATTCTGTCTTGTTCTGATGGAACGTTGCCTCTCTGTCAAATTCTGTCAAAACGCCAAGTTGCTTAAACCTGTCGAGTTGCGATGTTGTGAACAACTCTTTGGCGTTTTGCTTCTCAAGGCTTTCATTGATGCTCGAAGCAGCAGATGCTTGGCTTGAAAAAGATGGCTCTCAACCCCTTTTGACGTGGGGATGATGGCTCATGGAAGCCGCCAATTGCCAAGATTCATGTCCTCACTGGTTCTGAATTCCAAGCTCCATTGATCTCCATTGGGACCACTGCCTCTTTTTCGCTGATATGACTGGTCATCCTTGGAGACCATTGCTGGGATGTCATGTTCGATTGAGGACATGTCTGGAGATGAAAGCATTCACTACGGGAAGTTCCTCCGGTGGCTTTTCGCACCGGCATCGAGCTCTGAGAGTGGTCATCAAGCCAATGTCTCATCGCACCTTGCCAGAATTGATGCCACATTTCTGCCACAATGGCCAAAATAGAACCACCATTTGGAAAGCATGAAGCAAGATGTTGGCTGGTGGACACTTTTTGAAATATCAAGCCTTTGGGCTTTTTATCTTCATGCTGTGATTGCGATGATCGCAACTCATTGCAGTTCATTGGGTTTTTCGGACAACGTTCGACCCATAGCACCGTGATCCGTTTGGACCAGGCAAGATGTTCAGACGGAACTCAACATCTCAGTGCCCGGCCTTGGCCACTTGGTGGAGCTCTGGTGGGGACGAGATGTTACAACCGGTCCATACTATGAAAGTCGGAAAAGTCAGAAAGTTGACGAATCAGATCTTTTGTTTGACATTTTTTGACATATAAACGAAAGCAACAGTGGCAGGGACTGTGGCAAACGTACTTGGTCCTAAGGAGTTTGGCTGGGTTCATTCACTGGGTTTATCATATTTGACAACATTGGACAGAGATTTCAAGTCTGAACACGGCCTTTGCACGTGATGAGTGTCAGCACTTGGATTAAGAACAGATGGTTGATGTTGATGATGTATGATGATTCTTGATGGTCGACGGTTGATGCAGGTTGTTCTTCCAAGTCCAATGCTGGTAGATGAACAACTTGGCTTTTGACAAAGACTCACCACACAGACACGTCAAATCCTGAGGTTCCAAGTCGGAAGCGGAGGTCTGGCGATCTGGGGAAGTTATTCCATTGGGATCCATTGGGGACAAAGTTTGACAAAGTTGAGAAGTATTCATGAGGAGACGTTGGGGCGGTAGGTCGTATTGACTGATTTGACTGGCTTAATCTTGCTTTGTTGGGATCTACATTTTTTGCTATGATATTGTATCATATATTGTATCCACTTCGATGATTTCCATAATTCGTCCTGTTGCGGCAAATGAATGCAAATGTCCCTCACTGGGTGACCTCCAAGCATTCATCAGATTTCGGGTTTCAATCTCAGACCAACCCTATGCAGGCATCATATTTTCCACGCCTTTTCTGCAACAGAAAAAACTATAGAGCTGAATCACTAAGATCTCTTTCCGCTTAATTTTTGGTTGTCCAAAATGTCGTGCTTTGCTTTCCAGGCAGATGAAACTGAAATCGAAAATTGCTGAGATCTCAGACTTGAGGATTCCATGAGATGTTCCCTCACATGTTCAGGCTTGAGGATTCATGCTCAATGACATGTGACATTGGGCTTTGAAAGATGCGTTTATTAAATGCGTTTAAATATGCTTGTGCACTCTGGGTGCTGCCAGTGCATGACAATCATTTGTTAATATTTGTTAGTAGTCGAATGAACCAAGTTCAGGAACCCCAAAGCCGCAAAATCTAGAATCTATACATTATGATACATTATGACTGATCCACTGGTATAATATATTAAGAATAAACCTTGGACTGCCAGACATCCAGAGTTTCGGCTTTGAGGCGGAGACATCCTGCAGGCTGCGAAAGAAGGCAACGTCGGAGCTGTCCGACGCTTGCTGCAGGTGGACCCCCAGAGCCTGGAGCAAGTCGACGAAGATGGCGGACACCTGAGAAGGGATAGGCTTGAAGGTTGAGGAGGTTGTTATAGGTTCGCAGCTGTGACTTCCCAATCCAGTTGAGACTGTACGACGTGTTTCAGTTGGAAGATGATCGACCTGTGACTTTGCACGTGGTGTCGCCATCATCAGCGGAGCCCTCTGGCTGAGGCGACGGGCCCCTGGCGAATGCGGCTTGGGAAGGCCACCTGGAGGTGGTCCAGGTGCTGCTCGCCGCGGGCGCTTCCGTCGAGGCGAAGGATAGCAACGGTCCCGGCCCCAGAGACGGGACGGATGTGACAGGACGGACGTTGTGGGAGGGCGGTGCAACGGGTGAAATGTGGAAGAGATGCGACACGACATTGAGTTTGCTGCCAGTTTTAAGGAATTTTCAGTGTACTTTACGTGATTCCATGTTGAGAAGTCAACTACCAGTAGACAGCAGTTGCAAGTTTGTGTTGCGGGTATGTCACACAGTGGTTCGTGTGGTTGAGTCAAGTTTAGGGGACATTTTGCGGGTCTAATATTATTAATTATGGAAGCTGGATGCAAATGGATTCTAATGATTTTCTTGCTGAGATTGTAGTGTGTTATTGTGAATCTTTGATCTGGTTTGCAGTGTATGGCACGACAGAGGTGTGACTTCCCAATCAGTTGATCCTAATTTCGACAGGCAGTGATACATGTCTCAATTTGAAATCGTGGACCAAACATGACCAAACTCCCAATTTTTCAGACCCGAAATCCTCCGAAATCCTCTGAAGCAACCCATGCGACTTGGCGCGTCCCGTCGCCATCTCCAGCGGCGCCCTCCGGACCGAGGCACCAGGCCGCTGTTGATTGCGGCTCAGGAAGGCCACCTGGAGGTGGTCGAGGCACTGCTGGCCGCGGGCGCCTCCGTCAAGGCGAAGGATTACAACGGTCCCGGCCCTCAGAGACGGGACGGATGTGACAGGACGGACGTTGTGGGAGGGCGGTGCAACGGGTGAAATGTGGAAGAGATGCGACACGACATTGAGTTTGCTGCCAGTTTTAAGGAATTTTCAGTGTACTTTACGTGATTCCATGTTGAGAAGTCAACTACCAGTAGACAGCAGTTGCAAGTTTGTGTTGCGGGTATGTCACACAGTGGTTCGTGTGGTTGAGTCAAGTTTAGGGGACATTTGGCGGGTCTAATATTATTAATTATGGAAGCTGGATGCAAATGGATTCTAATGATTTTCTTGCTGAGATTGTAGTGTGTTATTGTGAATCTTTGATCTGGTTTGCAGTGTATGGCACGACAGAGGTGTGACTTCCCAATCAGTTGATCCTAATTTCGACAGGCAGTGATACATGTCTCAATTTGAAATCGTGGACCAAACATGACCAAACTCCCAATTTTTCAGACCCGAAATCCTCCGAAATCCTCTGAAGCAACCCATGCGACTTGGCGCGTCCCGTCGCCATCTCCAGCGGCGCCCTCCGGACCGAGGCACCGGGCCGCTGTTGATTGCGGCTCAGGAAGGCCACCTGGAGGTGGTCGAGGCACTGCTGGCCGCGGGCGCCTCCGTCGAGGCGAAGGATTACAACGGTCCCGGCCCTCAGAGACGGGACCGATGTGACAGGACGGACGTTGTGGGAAGGCGGTGCCACGGATTTCAGGATGAAATTCGATGGTGTTCGCCACCTTAGCTGGAGATGAACCTCCAGCAGGTGAGAGCCACAGGGTGGACAATTTGAAGGAAATCAGGCACACGAAGTCATGAAGTTGTCCCTGCTGGGATGCACAGCTTCGGAGAGGTGATCTTGCACATGGGCGCTCACATGTACAACCTTAATCAACCTCTATATTGGTGTAAAAGAGCCTGATGCAAGGTTTCATCAGACATACAGTCCTGTTCGGTTTCTCGTTTGTCCCAGTTTTGAGAGGTCTGATCATGTCTGATCAGTTACTAGTCTTGGTGATCTTCACAAACACCAGCAATGATAGTGGCTGCCATTGAGCCAGCTCGCTATACAATTTTGAAAAAGATGAAACTCACGGACTTCACTCCACAGATTGCAGTTTCTCCCACTGCCGTGGGGTCACTCGGTGACAAGTTGTTTGATGACTTTTAATGCGCCATGTGCACAGAGCTGTGGCAGGATAGGTGGCATTTAGGTGGGATTGGGATTTTGTGAATCTTCTCAAACGCCATGGAGAGGTATTTGGCAAGTGACAATACATGAGGTGACAAACCAACAGAACACAGTGGCATCCACTGGCATCTTTGGGGTGCCCCATCACTGCAGAGATATAACACGAATTGCCCACACGCAATGTCGACCTTTGACAACACATTATCTGCATGACGATGGTAAGACATCGATGTGAAACACCAAAAGACATCATAAGACATCTTGAGAGAAAAGAACTCTTGCACATTTGCTACCTGTATGGGGGTACTGTGGGTGTGAAAGAGAGCTTGAGAATGCTCGAGATATGTTGAGATAAAGCTTAACTTGTTAAGCATAGAACGGTTTTCCCTTTTTTGGATTTTCTGTTTTGGAAGGTTCCATCAGTTGGTAGTCTTGGTGATCTTCACAAACACCAGCAACGATAGTGGCTGCCATTGAACCAGCTCGCTATACAATTTGGAAAAAGATAAAATTCACGGACTTCACTCCGCAGATTCGAGCCTCTCCCACTCAAGTGTAGGGGTGGGCGGTGAAGAGCCACGGGGTGGAGCCAGCCGTTGACGTCTCCGAGCCCTTCGGCGCCTGAGGTCGGACACCGCTGCTCCGCGCGGCGGGCAACGGCCACACCGCCGCAGTGGAGCGGCTCCTCGCCGCAGGCGCCGCTGTGGATGCTGTGGACAGCAATGGCCAGGGGCCTCGGAAACGGCCGGTGGGGACGACAGGGGGTGGAGTGGAGGGATGATCTGATGCAGAGTGAGTGAAAGAACAAACTCGGTGACATGTTGTTTGATGACTGTCAATGCGCCATGTGCACAGAGCTGTGGCAGGATTGGTGGAATTAAGGTGGGATTGGGATTTTGTGAATCTTCTCAAACGCCATAGTGAGATTTTTGGCAAGTGACAATAGGTGACAAACCAACAGAACACAGTGGCATCCGCTGGTATCCTTAGGGTGCCCCATCAGGAATTACCCACACGCCATGTTCACCTTTGACAAAACATTCTCTGCATCACAATGGTAAGACATCGATGTGAAATACCATAAGACATCATTCTTGAGAGAGAAGAAAACTCTTGCACATTTGCTACCTGTAGTATGGGCCTACTGTATGGGCGTACAAGAGGGCTTGAGAATGCTTGAGATAGGTTGAGAATGGTTGAGATAAGTTTTGTTAGGCGTAAGAAAACGGTTTTTCCCCTTTTCGGATATCCTTTTCTGGAAGGTGCCATCAGTTCGTAGTCTTGGTGATCTTCACAAACACCAACAACAGATAGTGGCTACCATTGAGCCAGCTCGCTATACAATTTTGGAAAAGATAAAACTCAGGGACTTCACTCCACAGATTGCAGTTTCTCCCACTGCAGTGGGGGTGGGCGGTGGAGAGCAACGGGGTGGAGCCCTCCAGCCGTTGACGTCTCCGAGCCCTTCGGCGCCTGAGGTCACACACCGCTGCACCACGCGGCTATATATACCACCGGCGAAACTGCCATCGTCGTGGAGCGAATCGTGGAGCGGCTCCTCGCCGCGGGCGCCGCCGTGGATGCTGTGAACAGCGAAGGCCAGGGTCCCCAGAAACGGCCGGTGGGGACGAGAAGGGGGTGGAGGGAGGGATGATGTGATGCAGAGTGAGTGAAAGAACAAACTCGGTGACATGTTGTTTGATGACTGTCAATGCGCCATGTGCACAGAGCTGTGGCAGGATAAAACTAATAGGTGGTATTTGCTGTAGATGGGATTTGGATTTTGGGAATTTTCTCAAACGCCATGGTGAGACATTTGGCAAGTGACAATACATGAGGTGACAAAGCGACAGAACACAGTGGCATCCACTGGCATCTTTGGGACGCCCCATCACGGCAGAGATATAACACGAATTGCCCACACGCAATGACCACCTTTTGACAACACATTCTCTGCATGACGATGGTAAGACATCGA